CACAGGGCAGTAGGCAGCCCTGGTGGGTGGACAGGCTCCTCACCCTCCGGGGCTCCAACAGCACACTCTGCCCTGCCTTGCTCTCTGACCCTTACACCTGAAGTCTGCAGGCCGAGGGCTGCCGCAGCCACTCTTCTTCCACTTCCTTTCTTTTTTGCTTTGGCAACTAGAACGCAGCAATGGGCAGAACCAGTCGGTGGTGTGACCACCTCACCTCCAGCTGCAGGCTGCCCGGTACCTCTTCACTCTTTCATAGTGACTTGCATTCTCCCTTTTGTGGAAGCAGGCTGGGTTCTATCATCTCCCTGGATGCCCTATGCCAAATGCAGAGCATGTGCAAATAAACAGGCAAGCCCCAGGACGGGGACTTTGTAATTGGTTCACCTAGACATTCCTGGCACTCCCTACAGTGAATGTTAGCAATACTGAAAACCTTTAACAATCAGGGAAATACAAAGGCAAAGACTAGAAGGGACTTTAGGGGCACAGTTAAAGGGTACTGTGGCTGGGTGTAAGCCCTTCAGTGGCTGAGCCTGGTGGGGGTGATGGGGCATCTGAGGGGTCCCAGGGAAGGCTTCCTCTGGAAGGGGGATAGTACTCAGGAACTTCAAGTTAACAGCTGTAATGAACCAGCATGGACACATTTCAGTATTTCTACAACCTCAACACAAATGTATTAAATATACAAATACCTTTAAGTGGCCCTTTAGTGTTCACAATGATGTTCTTTGCTAGCTGGGTAAGTTGGCTGGTGGAGGCACGGTCAGTTCTAACCAACACCAGAAGCTGATGCCCATATCCGAAAGGACGGGGTATTCTCGTTCAGTCTGTAGAGGTTTCCGTCCACAGCTGGCTGTCTCCAGATAGGTGGCACAGCAGAGGGCCCTCACAGAGGACAAACGGTTCAGATAGGAAGCAGAGAGGGATCCAGGGAAGAGGGACGGAGCTGTGCCCTTCCAGGCCTGGTCGCAAGGGACCAACCTCTTCTGAGGGTTCTGAGAACCCTCTGAGGCTTCACCTCCCAACACCACATTTAGCTATAAACTGAGAGGACATTACTCCAGTGAGTATCACCCACACAGAAGGCTGTAGGAATCTACGTTTTGGTTTTTTTTAAGTTTTTTGAGACAAGGTCTTGCTCTGTATTCCAGGTTGGCCTTGGATTCACTATGGAGCTCAAACTCACGGCAATTCTCCTGCCTCAGTCTCCTGAGCGCTGGGATTACAGGCTTGTGCCACTGCACCTGGCTCAGGCACATTATCTCGATATAAACAGTAACAATGGGCAAGAGAAGGAAAAAACTAAACACAATGATCCAGTGAAGTTTATATTTCACCAGTAAAAGGCAAAGACAGAAGTCTAAGACATTTAGCCAAATCTCATAGGAGAAAGTGGAAATCATCAAAATTGAACAGAGAGAAAAAGCTGAGAACTGAAGAGACTGAGCCATGTACGAGACAAAGGACATTTATCAACAATTTTTGTTGAGTCAACTGAAAGCCGTGGAGTATGTCCATAACAGACACACTGCACAGTTTTATATGCAGCCCGTGAGAAAGAACATAAAGCCCTTTGATAGACAGCACTTTGTTTTTTATAATACTATAAAGAGATGATATTAAGAAATGGCAATAAACCATAAAGCTATAGAAGAATTGTGAATACTTTGAAAAGACAGATTTCTCAGTGTTATGTTCAAAACATTACAAAAAGCTAAAAAAAAAAAAAAAAAAAACCCAAGCCCCAGTTTTTGTGGATATGCTGCTTGTCAGGCTCCCACCCTATCCAGGACCCGTTACCTCGAGGCTCCTCAGAGTTCCAGAGGCCAGACAGGTTGGCTCTTCTCATGCTTGTTAATGAGGCAGGACCTCACTTCTGGCAATTTGACAACTAAATCATTCTAGAGCTTTTAGAAGTTTCATCTATCTTCTTTGTGCTGAGAACACATTACTGTACTGAAGGTTACAGCACTTTTAAAATGCCCACAGATTCTTTGCTACTCATCCCCTCAAGGGGCAGGATGTAGAGACTCTGCCTCACACCTGGGCTGCCTGGACCCTGCCATGACCGACAGATGACCGCAGAAAGGCTGCTGCGGGACCTCTGAACGAGGGTGGAAGCGCCACGTCCTCTTGCTGGGTCCTGCGGGGACACCCCTTCTGGGAAAGCCAATCCCCCGTTAGGACAGCCACCCTCCAGCCTGGCTCGTGGAGGTGAAGTGGGCACCTGTACAAGCTCAGATGTAGGCCAGGCTGTGCGTCAGCATCGAGTGCCAGCCATGTGAAATATTTAGGACACCCAGGCAGGGCCTTCAGGTGACACCTGTCACCATATGAGATCCCAAGCAACAGCCCTCCTCAACTTCCTGATCCCAAAATTCTGAGCAAATGAAACACTTGGTTGCTCAATACCATTCTATAACACGGTGACAGTCACCAGAATGACCATCAGAAAAGTACTTTCTGACTGGTTCTATTACTTTTTGTACTTTGGAAACCAATTCCAGACCAAGCTGTATTAGTCAGAAGAGATGAGATCATACTCTTGGAACATAATGAAGCTTGAAATTTTAACAGGTTTCCTTAACAAAAGTGTATTTTCTGTTGAAGGAAGGGCAAGACATTCTCCTCTATTGGTGGGATCGGGGAAATAAGCCTCCTCTATCTTGTGGCACCACTGTCTGGCAGTTTGCTACCACACAGAACGAATAATTCTCAAAGATTACCACCCTATAGCATTTTCCATTCAAAAGACTGTCATGCTATCTGACAACACCAGGACAATTTTTAAAGTGACCAATGCTGAGCGTGGTGGCACATGTCTATAATTCCAGCTAGCACAGGATCACAAGTTATAGGCAACCTAGTTAGTCTACAGCTTGTGCATGCCAGGCCTCCACCGCTGAGCCATGTGCCACCCCTTACACCATTTTTAAAAACTCAGTATTTGTTGGTAATTTTTAAAATACAGGGCTTTGTAAGCTATAACTAGACACCACCTTTAACAAAATTTTCAGCAAGAAAACTACCCCCCCTCTATTTTTTTTAGGGAGGTCACAAAATGATGACAGATGGTATCAGACTGAGGTAGCAACTTCTTTCCAGACTTTCTCCTGTTACCTACCATCACTTTGTACTCAGACATATTTTCATTTCCCTCTTTTGATCTCTACTTTTGAATTTGCTGTTACTTCACTGAACTCCTACTTAACTGAACTTCTAACCACACAGCCAGCCCCTTTGAAGGCCTGGACTCTCTTGATGTAGAACCTGGACAGTACAGTGTGGAAGAGAGTGGATTCAAAGGCAAATGATCTTGCATCTCTTCCTGGGGGACTTAAATGGGTCTACTGATGAAACTTGTAGCCAAAAGTAACCTCCTAAAATCAAATAAAGGGTAAATATTAGACCTTGTGTAGTTCTCTAGTCTATTGTCTTATAGCTCCCCGCCTCAAATTTTATTTTATTTTTTGGATTTTTTTATTTTTTGGTGCTAAGGACCAAACCTAGGGCTTCCAGATTGCTAGAAGTATTCTACCCCTGAGCTAAATCCCCAGCCCCTCAAATTTTATTTTGTCTTATTTATTTATCTTATTCTTTTATTGATTGGTTGGTTGGTTGGGATGAGATAGGTTCTCACTATGTAGCCCAGGTTGGCCTTGAATTCACAGTAATCCTCCTGCTTCAGCCTCCTGAGGGCTGGGATTACAGACATGTACCACCATACATGGCCACCTCACATTTTAAGCTCAGGTAACATAATGAAGGCAATTGAGCTTCATGGCCAAGAGTGCAGACCCTGGAATCAGAACAAATCTGGGCTACGCCTTGTCACTTAAAATGAATTTTACTGTGAGCAAGTTAGCAAACTTTGTTTTCTTGCCAGTCAACTGGGATTAATAACACCTTCATGGGGTAGCTGTGAGAAATGAAGAAAATAATTCGTGTCTAATACCTCATATGCTGACAAAGGGAACTCAAGGTGTTTTAGCTGTTAATGCTATGGTGTTAAGTGTGCTCTTTCCTCTGCCTAGAATACCTTTTGCCTACGTTCATCTGGGAATTCCTTCACAAGTCATTCTAACCTGCATTCCGTGAGTACCTCCAGCTCCTGGACTTGTGACACCGAAAAGACAGACTGTAGAACATACACTGTAGGTTCTCATTTGTGTTTCCAATAATGAAGTGAACACATCCTTGACTTCAGTCTACAATCAATTCACCTTTCTTCGGAATAAGGAATGAATCCTATTAATTATGTCATTACTTCAAGCAAAGGAATTATTCTAGCACATTAATTTAAGTTGAAGCCTAATTGGTACTGCTGGTATTCTAAAGGGCAATGATCTGAACATGATTATCTGCAGATAAATGTTCTCTAGTCAGAATGTTCTTGCCTAATATTTCTTCAAGTTTTCTCAGAAACTGTTAACAAAGGCAACTCAGAAGCTCTTAAAAATCACAGTAATTGATAATGCACTGTTTTTGTAATAAGGATCAAGTTATTGGAATTTTAAGGACAAAAAGTGATTATAATACTTTGGGCTGGGAGTGTAGCTCAGTGGTAGGGTACTTCATGCTTAGTACACATGAAACTCTGGATACAATCCTTAGCACCAGAGAAAAACAAAACAAACAGCACTGATTTTTCACTTGCTTATTATCTTAGATAGTAAAAAGCAGTTATATTCCTATTACATGAGCGGTCATACATAGCCAATGAAATCTAGAACAACAGTCTATGTTCCACTCAACTTTGAGGAATACTTGATGGTTGTCGAATTAAGACTAGTAAAATACATTAACATACTCTTTTCAGATTTTTAGGATCAGTATCTATCTATCTGTGGATTCACCTGTGCGTTGGACAATCATTCCCTTTAAAGAACTTAAAGTTTCTGACCACAATGACCACAGGTATGCAGTCTCACGGAGTAAAAGGAGAGACTGACAACACCAAAGTGTTATTGAAATTCTATTAGTGAAAATAATAAAAATACCTCAATGCAGATGTGATGTATTCCTCCAGCCTCGTTTCTCTTCAGAAAGCCTGCAATTGGACTGTTACTGCCCAGGGGATGAAGCAGTTCCATCTTGGTATTTCCCAGGCTGACAAAAACAACAGAGACTCCATGTTCTGGAAGAGGGACCGCTTCGCTTACCTGGGCCCCCAGAATATTCTTATAAAACGCTGTGGCCTTCTCCAAATCTGGCACCGCTATGGCCACATGATTGAGTCGACCCAGGTTCCACACAGGGTCTGCGACTTGATGCTGGGGCTGGCACAGGGAAAATCCTCTGACTGCTGCAAGAGGTGTGTGCAGTCTAGAAAAGAGTCCTGAAAAATTGAAGAGCTGTTAATATCCTTCGGAGAATTAATGCACTTTTACATTTAATATTAAAAACTAATCAGCTAGTTCATGTTATATTATACTATATATATTTTTAATTATTGAAGTTAAATCAGGGGGAGATACGTAAAAAAACTTACGCCAAAATTACTCATTCTGCAATAATTAAAAGCTAATTATTTCGAATTTTGAAAACCAATTCTGAACTTGAACTAGATTCTGAATAGAAGGTGATATTTGTTCATAGGAAGTTATATTTACTAATAATACTTAAAGGACAGCTATATATTAAGAAGCACTCACTAATCTCTGCATTTCACAGGAGCAAGTTGTAATAAGAGAAGGAAACAACATACATTTAATAAAAGCAACCAAATTTCTTCCCTATTTAGATCCATTTTTTGGCCCTACAATGTGTAATTAAGTCTATTAAAGGTATAACTATATAGTGCTTTTAATATGAATGATTATCAGTGAAGGAAAATATTTCATTGTTGGGGGATAAACAAGCAAAGATCGAAGGGGTATTTCACTTATGTTTTTCTTATTTTGTAGGAAGAGAAGCAGAAATGTTTCTGAGTGTGAAGAAATCGTCTTTCACTCCGTAACTGAAGAAGGCCACGAGGTGTCCTCATGTGTTACGCTGCTTTCTCTTGCACCCAAACCCTGGGCTTTTAAGCGTCATATTCCACCCCCACTCCAGAATGAAAATTACACACATATCTGAGCTCTAAATATAACCCTGTAAAACTGTATAACTTAATAAAATAGTATGGAAAATCAAGATAAAGATCACATGCAGAATTTTAAATAGGTGCTAGTTTTTAGTGAAGATCACTTTAAACTCTCTCATTCAGAGCTTCTGCTAACAAAAAACATTCCCCTTAACTGAAGTTTTTCAGTAACAAGGAAATTAAAGCAACACTTTTATTTAAGAATACAAGCTTGCATTATAATTCAAGGGAAAGCAAATTCAGTCTAAGACGATCTTCTGTCATATTATTGCATATTAGTGCACATTATTGATTACTGAGGTATCCAAAAATTGGCATTATCAATAGCAGGGACAAAGGAACCCTTTGATATTGTTGGTAGGAATGTAAACTAGTACAACCACTATGGAAATCAGTGTGGGGATTCCTCAAAAAACTTAAATTAGAAATTCCACTCACCCCAGCTATTCTCCTTATAAGTATCTTCCAGAAAGGGGCAAAGCATTACAGTATATCAGTGACGTATGCATACCCTGTTTACAGCAGCACAATTCACCATAGCTAAAGCTGGGAAAGTGGCCATCAACAGATGACTGGATAAGGAAAATTGTATTTACATACAATCTAGTACTACTCTGCCACAAAAAGGACAAACTGGAGTAACTTATAGGAAAATGGATGCATCTTGAGACCATAATGTTAAGTGAAATAAATCAGATGTGCAAGCTTGAATACTGCACGGTTTCTTCTTGGTTTTGGTACCGGAGATCGAATTCATGACACTGTGCTTGCCAGGCAGGCACTTATGCCACTGAGCTGAATCCCCAGCCCTGCATGAGAAAACCAATGTATAAATAAAGAGCAAAATAAAAGACAGAAAATAGAAAATAGGGAGATAGACCTTTGCAAAATGGAAGGAGATCAAGAAATGGAGGAAGTGGGAGAGAAGGGGATGAAAAAAGAATTCAAATGTATTACGTACATGTACCAAGCCTCATGACGAATGTAGTCATTATGTACTGCAAGCATGTACTAATAATAACACATTTCAAAATTTTATAGGACAAAAGTAAACACATACTCAAACATAGGTTACTATCATACAGTTCTATAGACTCATTGTGCTACTATGAAATCCAAACTTTATTACAACAGGTATGCACAGATAAATGTATATTTGAAACTAAATTCCATGAAAATACCCAATCCTTAGAATGACGTGCTTTGATATTTTCTATTGTTATTTCAGTTTTTAAAAAATATGAGCATCACCCACTACATATCTCACTTGCTGGTTTCCTGCACTATACAGTCATCTGTTCTTGTGTCAATGACATACAACGATGAGGAACGCAGGGTATTCTGTGGTGATCATCAGCCTCTTGCAGGGATGTGGTGAGATGAATTTCACAAATGCTAACAAACAACAAAAATAATGGTCAAGGTGTTCCTATCGTCTTTCTTTCTCTGCAGCTCTATGTGCAATTTGCAATGGAAGTTTACTACAGAAAGTATTTATATTTAAAAACCCTGTAGCCTGCATGATGAGTCACGCTTGTAATCTCAGCCCTGGGACAGCTGAGGCAAGAGGACTGGATGTGACAGGCCAGCCTGGGATGTATAGTGAATTCAAGGCGGACTGGGACTCCACTGTGCAACTCTTATCTCAAAACCTCCAATATGCCCCCCCAACCCAACCCAAAAAACAAATGAAAAATCCCAAAATATACTGTATGCAGAGAGGACCCGAGCTTCTGGGTAGCAGGCACATTGAAGTTGGCCTGTCAAATACTGAGCTCAGGTGTCTGAAATTCTCCTTCCCAGTTATCCCTACAAGACATGGGGCAACAGGATCTTTGGGCAGGCATCCTGTTACCAGCAAGGGAACAAAAATTTTAACAGAACAAATTATAGGATGTTTCAGTGAGAGCAAAGTTTTATATCCTAAGCCAATTTGCTTTAGGTATATGTCAAAAATTCTGTGTCTGAAAAGGTAGCCCAAGCAATTCATGTTATGGGAAGCCTCACTGAAGACTTTATTTAAAATCTTAATATTTGGGTTTTCTAGAATGAAAAGGTCCTTCCTTTTCCTTCAATAGGAAACAAACAAAAAACCCTTCTGTATATGTTAAAAAGATGGAAAGACAATAATAAAAATTTAGGATTTTGAAATTTACACTCCAATACAGGAAGAGTATTTACTATTTAAAGAAATTAGGTATTAACCTTGAATATAAAGTGTCATAAAATTGTGACTATAATAAATTTTTAACCATTTTATACCTTAGTAGCTTTAAAAAGATTTGTGATTTACATAAAGTTCACCCACTTGCAGCGTACAATTCAGTAGACCTTACAAGATGTGCAAAGCTGTGCAACTTTCACATGATATACCTAAGAGGCGATGTACCCTATGGCTGGAGATAGAAGCCCTGGTACTCAACGTGCTGGTTTAAATCTAGATTTTACCCTGAGTGGTATACTTAAGCAAGTTACTCAACCTGTTTTGCCATTGTTTTTACCTACATAAAATTTTTAAAAATCGTTTCATAAGAGTGTCATGGGATTAAATGACGTGCCTGTAATCTTGGCTGTTCAGGAGGCTAAGGAAAGGTCAGCCAGGAAAGTTAGCAAGATCTTTTCTCAAAAATAAAATAAAAAGGGCCAAGGAGACAGCTCAGTCAAAAAGTACTTGCTTTGCTTGTACAAGGCCCTGGGTTCCCAGTACGTCTTCCAAAACATAAAACAGCTAAGGCTCTTGTACTTGGTAAAGTCTTGGCAGGCAGTGTTTCTGTATGCACTGCTTCTGTCATTAGTTCCCAGTTTACGACTTCTGACTGGGGCCCCACTCACTTCCTCTCACACTGGACCATTGTATGGGCTCTGATGTCAGTGCATCATCGATAGTATTTAAGTATTTAGTGATCACTGACCTCTTGGAGTTTTACTGCACAAGTTTTTAAAAGCAAAAGAAGCTGTTTGCTTTCTGATACAGGAATACAGATTTACTATTTTCCTGAGATAAAGTGAGTTGCTTATGATAACTTTTTAATTTACCTACACTGCTCATGACCATGTTACTTTTCTAGCTATGTATCAGTGCTATTTTATAACCTTTCCAAAATCTTTAATTGTGCCTAAATAAACTATAAAGCTACAAATACGAAATCAGAAGTCGAAGATGGTGTAGGCTGGCTCTGCTGATTAGTTTTGTCATAAGAGAGATAAAGACAAAAGGTCAGTGAGCATTTTATTGAGTCCTCATATTTCAGAAACAGTCCTGACAGGGATTAAGCAATTTTCTCTAAGCTTACACTAAATGGCTGGGCCTCACATCCAGGTCTGTCTAACATGAGAGTTGATACTGTTAAATTATTTAACTCATTTCTCTGAAATTCTTTACCTGTTTTGAATCTTAATTTTTAATACCATTGGTGTATGTCCTTCTTTATATGAGATGGCTTCTGAAGAGCTAATATAAGATGACATTTTGCTTTGTGAGTTTTTTTAATAAACACCTGACATGTATTTTTAGCAAGGATAGAAAGTCCAATAGGGTGAATTATCACCAAAACTTGTGTATCGCCTGTTAATTGGAAATTCATTTTTCATAACTGTGCTTCATTTTCATAACTGTGTTTAGCTTGTTTCATATATACCAGCTCTAAAGTCATTGTGGAGACAGCTGAACCTATTAGGAGGCACTTTTTGCATGTGGCTCAGCTCGGTCTCCTGGTGATGTTATAACACTGGGTAACAGAAATTTTGTGATTAATAAGAAATGGTAGAAGGATCAGTAAAGAGCTCAGCTTGCAATGGGACTTCGGAGGATTAGTAGGGCTGTCCATTCCAATAGGTTCCAACAGGTAGAAAATCTCAGGAGTGAAATCTAACATTAACGAAAGTTCATTCCCTTGAACCATTGTTTGAAGGTACTAGTTGAAAGATCTCCCTGGGGCATGACCACTTCACAGTTTCTTCCCAAAAGGAAATCTCAGATGAAGGGAAATACTTGCCTTCATGCAAGCAACAAAAGAAGAAAAAGAAAGAGAAGAAAATAGAGTCAGCAAACTTGGGCATCTGTCATCACCGATTCTATCCAGCCTTTTTTGTTCTGTTCTGTTTTAATGGAAGTGAAGTCTAAGAACTTCCAATCTGGGTATCAGGGCACGAGAGTCTGACGCTCCTCGGGGGTTCTTTATCCCACTGACCTTCAGGGGTCCCAGCAGGATCCCAAACGTGTCTGGATTCCGCGGAAGTCTTTCAGGATTTGCCCCTTCCTGGGTCCCCCGTCTCTTCTGGGGGGCGGTAAAGAGCACCCACCGCTTCTTCCATTCAATCCTCTGCTTCGCCTCTCCTCCCGGGGAGGCTCCCTCGCCCCTCCGCCCACATCTAACAAGGGGTGACCCCTGGTGGCAGCGGGACTCACCCGGGGAAGAAGAGCTAAGGACCCTGCGGACCGAGGCGGTGACAGCAGCCGGGAGCGCGCCCTAGACCCGGCGCTCTCGCCTCCGCCCCGGGGCCTCCTCGCCTCCCGGCCCGGCCCGGTCCCGAGCTCCCGCCCACGGCGCCCCGCGGCGCCCGGGATTCACCTGCAGCGCCCGCCGCCACCGCCGCCCTCAGCGCTGCAGCCATCTCTGGGAAACTACTCGTGACCCCGGAGGCGGGGCGGGGCCACCGGGGATGGGGCGGAGCCACCAGAGCGGGGGCGGAGCCACGAGGGGCGGGGCCTCGTTCTGGAGAGCCCACTGGTTGTATCTCAACCTTGAAATACACGCAAACGCGAGTTATCACCAGCGGGCTTTTCAGGAATAGAGGGCGCTGGCCCCCCGCCCCATTACGCATGCCCAGTGATAATTCTCCCGCTGTCATTGGCTCCAGCTGTGGACTGGTTCCGGAACCTTTGAGTCACGGAACCTTCGGGTCTGACCTACGAGTTGCGAGAGGGAAACCTTTGCCTTGTGGTTTCCGTTCGGCCCTCTTCCGGAGCATGTGGCGCGGTTCCTGGAGTAGGTGACAGCGATGGCTCCACGGGTCTGGCGTCAACGGACCCTGGAGAGGTGTCTGAAAGAGATCGGCCAAGCCACCAAGCAGCCGGAGTGTTTCCTCACGTGAGTACGCCGATCTCGGACTCGGACAGCAGCCGAAATTGTTTATAGTCCTGGGTTGCAGGTAGCCGGCAAATTCTGGAGAGCGAGGAAGAGGGAGTGTAACTCACCGTTCTAATTTCAGACATTTACGCTCCTTGTCACATTTCTTAAAAATTGGAAGCTGTGCAAAGCGGATCCCTTAGTTGTGTGCTATTGAAATCAAACTAAGTTCAGCTGTTAACGCTCCGAAGCCTCCCTTTGGTTTATGCCTCTCTGATCTTCCCAAACACACACCATGGTACATGATTTCCAAATATACATCCTAAAAGCATCCTCTGCCCACTGTAATCAAACTTTATCAAGTGTAAACTTGTTGCCCACCTGTGCGCCCCGACTGAGCTTGTTGAGAATTCGGATTGTCATGTTTTCCCATCACATTTTGTACTTACTTTGTTGAGAAGTAAGATCTATACAATTGTATCGCAGGTTTATTTAGTCAAAGCTTGACCTCTTGCTCTCTATGCTGAAAGCTTCTACAGACAGCTGCATGCTCTCAGCATCTCAAATTTGTCATACCCAAAAAACAGTTTTAGAAAAAGTACTGTGCCCGCCTTTGAATTTATTTTCACGTGTTTCATTAACCAGGCCTTCCCAGTTTCAGTAAGTGGAAGTTCTGATATTCCAGTAGCTCAGATAGAATAGTTCAGTTTATTTTCTTGATTTTTAAAAAAAATCTCTGTTGTACATCCTTCATTTTTGCTTCCAAATTATATTTGGAATCTGATTCTTGCTTACCGTATTTACTGCTATAACTTCACCATAAATTCCTGTACTCCTTTGCCTGGAATGCTGTGCCAACCTTCGTTCTTTTCCTGTATAAGTTATCTTTCTTAAGTGTATATCATTTCGTTTTGCTTAAAACCTGCTGGTGTGTTCTCACTACACTTAAAATGGCAAACCCTTACCTTTGAGCCCTGCATCATTTGGCTCCCACTAGCCTTTCCAACTTCACCATCTGTCTACTTCACTATACTGCAGCCATGCTGTCTTTGTGTTCCTGAAGCTCAACAAGTTGATTTCTATCATAAGGAGTTTTTTTCTTGCTCTGTCGTGTGCCCCAAACATGGTTTCCAGATCTTGGTAAAAAAACAATTTTCCTATCTGTGATTCTGTCTCCGGTATCACATCCTCAGAGAGGACTTTTCCAGCCACTCTAGCCAGAGCAAATGTTGACTCATTATGTATCTCTTGGGAAATAGATCTATAATGCTTAATTTTGTTTTGTTTTGAGATGGAGTTTACTGTCTTGCCCAGGCTGGTCTTGAACTTGTAAAATTCACCGATCCTTCTGCCCCAGCTTCCCAAATGGGACACACCACCATCGAATGTGTCTTTTATAATGGTTTTCCTGAGGTGTGTTCATGAATAACAGTATAGCAATCCAAGCAGCCACATCGATAAATTTGAAATTTAGTTAACTGAGGTCAGGACTACGTGTATACAGAGTCTCCCCCCTCCCCGGTTCAGGGTCCAAACAAGTGGCACCCAACTGGAAAGTTACAGAGTTTTTAAAAGAATCACAAAAGACATCCTGTTGGAAACAATTTAGCTAGAATCTTACATTAATTTTTGGTTGACACCTATGTCCTGCTTCTTTTGTTGAGCAGGTTAATTTTTCTCCTGTGGGTACAGCTCATTCTGCTTTTCTCATGGGACTTTACCCTGAGTGATTTTTCATTTTCCTGAGAAAGATACAGGGCACTAGTTAAATGCGGGGCTCAAGATGGCATCACTTATGCCAAGCTACAACATTTCCTACCTGAAATCTATAGGATAGATTCAAATTAGTTGACAGTTTTCATATAAAATCAGCAAGTTATTATTGTCGGAAACCAGAATCTATTGTTAAATTTTTATTTATACAACAGTTGGCTTTCTGTTTTTCTTTTAAATCAGAATGCTATGAGATTATCATCTATAATTTTGTATCTCATTTAATCCCTTCCTTCAATAGGATTCAAGATGGATTAGCATCAAACTTTGCTTCTTTAACGAAAGTTCTTTATGACTTTAATAAAACAGTGGAGAATGGTAGCATTCCTGGAAGTCGTTTACAAAAACTTATGATAAATAATTTTGATGATGAGCAGATTTGGCAACAACTGGAATTGCAAAATGAACCAATTTTACACTACTTCCAGAATGTAGTTAGTGAGACAATTAAAGATGAAGACATCAGTCTTTTCCCAGAGAATGAAGAAACAGAGGGTGAAGAGGGTGGTTCAGAGATGGAGGCCGATGGCCCTGAGGTCCTAGAACAAGATTTGGAAGAAGAAGAAATGTCAGACATGGGGGATGATGATCCTGAAGTGGGTGAGAGAGCTGAAAACTCAAGCAAAGTCAATCTGCAGAAAAGCCCAGTTTTCAGTGATGAAGATTCTGATCTTGATTTTGATATCAGTAAGTTGGAACAGCAGAGCAAGGTTCAGTACACGCAGCCTCGGAAACCAAGAGAAAAGTCCATCGTGGATGATAAATTCTTTAAACTATCTGAAATGGAGACGTTTTTAGAGACCATAGAAAAAGAAGAGGAACCAAAAGAGGAGGACGAGGAGAATGAGGAAGAACATATTGATTTTTTTGAAGACATCAATTCTGACGAAGATGGGGAACTGTTTGGAAATCAGAAACTTAAGGTAAAGTTTTGGGGAATGAGAAGACAGAAACTTATAATCATTTGTTACGAGATATCAGAGTTCTCACCAAACTAAAATAATTATGAGAGTAAGTCCTTTAATACTTCATTTAGGCTGTGTTGTTTTAGAAATAATTGTAGAGAGAAAATATTAAGAGATAATGGAACATTGCACTCTTATTTTATCAGTTATGAAAGGATCCAAACTTCATGTAGTTTATGTTCCAGTTGTTTTTACAGCTTCATGATAGTGTTACCAGTTGCTACTTCCCCCTACTAACTATAATTAGCTAGGTTTTTTTTTTTGTACTGGGGATTGAACTCATGACTGCACACTTGCAAGGCAGGCACTTATGCGGCTGAGCTAGATCCCCAGCCCTAGGTAGTATTGTTAAAGTTAGAAACATCTTATGCGTGGAGATATATAAAGAGAGAGAGTATATATACATGTTTTTATATATTTCCTTACAGTTAATTAAATGTTCTTTACATCTTTTTATTTCAGTCCGGAAAAAGTTCCAGAAATTTGAAATACAAAGATTTCTTTGATCCAGTTGAAAGTGATGAAGACATATCGAATGTTCATGATGAAGAGCTGCGTTCCAACAAAGAAGAGGAAGAAATTTTTGAAGCAGCAGCAGATGAAGAGAGCATCTTGGAAACGTGAGTATTTTGAATCCGTATTATCAATTGATATTGGCCAATTAGGCAGGTTTATCTGCAGTTTTCAAATATGCCTGCCTTAAAAGGTCAAATAGTATGTTCTCTAATATCAGATAGTTTTAAGATAGTCAAAAGTAAGTCTCTGAATTTAAGAGACATTGAGATCATTTAACAAAGAAAAATATCAGCAGCAGTAGCATCCAAGCCTTTATCAGAAGGAAGGTGCTTTGCTTTGGGTTTAGTGCCAATACGATTCTCTAATGTTATTTTTGTGAAAACATCTTTATTATAGATTGATGTAATTTATTTGTCTGCATTGGGCATTCTTGTTCTATTTTTTATATAGCATTTCACTTAAATAACTCCTGCTCTTTAGGAATGTAGCGGCTTTGGAAATTCCAAATATTTGGTGCCATTAGATATAAAGAACGTTAGTGAAGATTTTTTTTTTTCCCAGTGAAAAGTGATGGTTTTCTTTTGATGAGCATGTTGGTATTTTAGGGATGAAGATAATGACCTTGAAGAAACTGAAGATGATGAACAACAGAAACAAGGTTCTAAAAGAGTGACCTTTGCTTTGCCTACTGATGAAGAAAATAAAGATACAGATGTGTTACATGTAAAGGAAGATTCTGCTGAAAGTAAATCTTCTTTTGAAAAAAGACAAGAGAAGGTAATTATTAAGGATTTAAGGAACTTAATGTGCTTAATATGACTGAACTCATAGACTATTCTGATTTTCCAGCTGAAAATCCCAGCTGACCTTTAGAAACAAATTTTGCAGCTATACTCTTTAGTGTACTGTATTTAGTTGTCATACTGAAAGCATCTAATTTGCAAAAGTTAGCACATCCTACTCCGTAGGATTCTTTTGGAAACCTAGGTGTAAAAGCTTCATTCTTTGTGCCTGATGTCTTCAGATCCATGGCGTGTCTGTCTTGCTTAGCCAGCCTGGGAACCTCCTCCCTCATAACTGTTTCAGATGCCTTGAAAAATTTTGCCCATCTTTTTAAGGTGTTGCATAATTTTTGTGGTTGTCACATGGCCTGTATTTTAGTTATACCCCACACATACACACAAAATGGGGCTACATGGTAGTGCACTGTTATAATCTCAGCACTTTGGAGACTGAGACAGAAAGATTGCAGCAAGTTTGAGGCCAGCCTGGGCTACATAGATAACAAGGCCAGCCTGAACTACACAGGGAGAGCCTGTCTCAAAAAACAAAACAAGAAACAAAAGTTAATAGGATATTGTCATTACACCATACCAGGCAGATGAAGTGTCATTGCTTTATTACTTGTATTCTTTGTTACTTGTTTTGATACTAGGGATCGAACCCAGGTTCTTCTCAGTGTGCTGTACACCCAAGTCTACCCCTAAGCTTCCCACCTTTTTTTTTTTTTTTTTTTTTTTTTTTTGAGACTGGGGTTTTCTAACTTCCCTGGGCTTCGCTTGGATTGTGAACTTTGTGCTTCATCCTCCCAGAGTGCTAAGATTATAAGTGTATGCCACTATGCCCAACAAGTATAATCTAATTTTAATAGATGCAGTTTGGCTTTGATCATTTAGCACTATCATTATCCACTGTAAAATTATATTGAGTTACAGTGAGAATAGGTAGGTAATGAAAGATAACAGGATAGCAAAAGAAGTATGAAAAAGTTTTAGAATCTGGATTAAATCTGTGGTTGTCAGATCGTCTTCAGAAGACAAAGTCTAAAGTTAAAAAGTACCATAATAAATACCACATTGTCTCTCTGGTGTAAAACGTAATAAAAACTGTAGGAGTAATAAGATCTGAAATGTCTAATAGCTATTGTAAAAATGAAAGGGAAGGAAAGTGCCCTAAAGGATGTAACTGCATGTATGTTTAAGTGTGTAAGATAGATGATCATATTGCTAAGTTTTTGTTGGATCATTGAACAGAACTGTTTGCAGTCTCATTGTTTGATTATCCGCTTTCTATGTTTAATTTTGTGACTTGAGCAACTATTCCTAAGTTGATAATATGTAATTTATCAACTAATGATTTCTTAGCATTAGTTTTTTTAAATTCTGTATTATTTCTACCCTTTTTTCTGTTCTATTTTTTTTCTCTTTAAAGTTAAAAAAAAAAAGCACCATAAAACAACATTAATTTGTAGTAGTGTTAGTGTCCCCTTGTTCTCCCTCACTCTTTCTACCTCCATCCAAAAGGAGAGAAGCTTTGATTTTACCATGAAGTCATGTCAGGTCTTCAGGAAATAGATAGGTGTGATGGTAGGTGCGTTTTAATTGATGCATGCTGGGAGGCTGAGGCAGATGGATCACAAATTCAGACCTTGGGCAACATGGTGACACCCTGATTCAAAATAAAAGCTCTGGGAGTGTACCTCAGCGTAAAGGCTTTGGGTTCAATCCCTAGAACTACAGAACAGAGCTGGCAAAGGTGACATTGAAGTTGGCATGCACATACGTGTATGGACATACAGTCGCATTTGTGAATATAGTGTTTCTTTGGTTCATAAACTTCATTCTTTGAGTGATTCTGGTCACACCAGATTGGATGAGAATGGAATCAAATTTCTCCATAAGGTCAACATTGAATCGCACCATTGAATTTGATTCCATTCTTTTCCAATTTGGTGTGTGACCAGAATTACAAATAGTTCATGAACCAAGGTACCACTCTGATATAAAAATTCAAAATAGCTCAATGAAAAAATAATGCCATACAACCTTATTGCCCTCATTCTTTTGATCCCTTCAGTATTCGAACTTTAAAATGCTCTAATAATTAAAATCAACAGTGACTTGTGAATAGATAGATCATACGAATAGGATAGAGCTCAAAAATATAACAGATGGTTCTGGAGGAGTCTAGTGTCTTATAAAAAGGCACTTCAAATCAGTGAGGAATGTCTGCAGCTCTCCCCAACTCAGGCAGAAGGGTTGGTCACTGGTATACAAGGTGGCAGGAAAAGTTACACTGGGGAACAGTGCGTTTCTTGTTCTCCCACTTTTTACGCAAGTAAAAGTCTAAATTTATTTCCTACGTAAATGTGCAACTTTTCACCTCTTTCTTAGATGAATGAAAAAATTGCATCTTTAGAGAAAGAGCTGTTGGAGAAAAAGCCTTGGCAGCTTCAGGGGGAAGTGACAGCACAGAAGCGACCCGAGAACAGTCTGCTGGAGGAGACCCTGCACTTTGACCACGCCGTCCGGATGGGTATGGCACCCTGGCTTCTGCAAGTCTTCGTCTTTGTGGGGTTTTTTGTTGTTGTTTTTTTTAGTTGTTCCATCTTATAGATTTTGGGTAATATTTCTTTCCCTAACTTCTTATTTTAGAAATTTGCAAACATGCAGAAAAGTTGAAAAACTAGTACAGTGGACATCTGTGTGTTCTTCATCTGCATTCACCAGTGGCTCTCATTTTGGCATCCCTGCGTATGTGTGCGTGTCTATGTGCCTGATTTTCCAGCAGGCCGTTTATGTATATATAAGTTAGTTGTCATTGTGTTAGCACTTGACTGTTAAGCTCAGTTATGTGCATCTTCTGAGAACCATAAAAATGGTGATAGAGTCAACAGATCAATAGGCTAATGAGTCCTATATGTATATTAATCAGATTTCTTACAGTGCTTTGATTCTTGTTTTTGTTTTTAATGGTACTGGGGATTGAACCCAAGATTTTTGCACGGAGTTACATCCCAACCCTTTTAAAATTTTTGCTTTGTTTTGTTTTGTTTTTTACTCATATTGTGAGACAGTGCTGCTAAGTTGTCCTGGCTGGACTCAGACTCACTCCTCCTTCTTCGGCCCACAGAGCCCTGGGATTGCAGGCATGGACCAGCACACTGCGGTTTACCAGGGTTGTCCTGTTAGCATCCTCTGACTACACTGTAAACTTCAGCCCCAAACCCTGGTCGTGTCATCCGATTCTTCCTTAAACCCATTAAGTCCAAATGAGTTTATTCCATTTTATTTCAGTGCAAGAGAGAATGGAAAAGAGGGGAAACAGTCTCCAGGTGTGTGGGATAGAAATGTTGATAGCACTAGCTGTGCTTTGGTTTTATGATTCCCGGACTTGTGGGAATGTCAGAAAGCATATTGACACAAATAACTCTCCCTCCCCTGCTAATTCAGGGATTGTGGGGGGAATTTTCATTTCCTGTAAGGTTTAAGGTGCTGCCGATGGTGCAGGTCCAAGGATGGTGCTGTGAGCTCGGTGTTCTGTGTGCATTTCCCTAATTAATGCAGTTGCGTTTCTTTCAGCACCTGTGATCACCGAGGAAACCACCTTCCAACTAGAGGACATCATTAAGCAGAGGATAAGGGATCAGGTCAGCGAGAAATTGCACTTACATTTCCCTATAAGTGTCAGAGATGTGAGAGTGCCTGGGGATGTAGCTCAGCAACCAGTATCTGCCTGGCAAGAGTGAGGCCCTGAGTTCAGTTCCTAGTACCAAAAAACAATAGAAATATGAGAATATTTGGGGAGCACAAACAATGTCTTGTGAATTTCCACTTAGCGAGGTTCCTTGTTTAAAACCTCTAGACTATACTACGGAGCCTGGCTCAGAGGGATATGCTTGTAATCCCAGCTACTCTGAAGACTGAGGCAGGAGCATTGCTAACTTAGAATAAAATTTAGGTGTTTAGTATGCATAGTAAGACATGGCTTTGAAATTTGTATAATGTTTGCCTACATGTTTGGGTCTAAAACAGTGGGATGTAGGCAGGAGGTACTATATGACATAAAGCTAAGACTTTTAAGTAAAGCACAGGACATTTAATATAAAAGCAGAGAAGGATATTTGAGTTAATGCCCACTTTGGTTTTCTTAATGCTTATTGTCTGAGCCTTGCATAATCATTTCTCAAGTTGAGACTAACTTCCTTTTTGCAACAATACTTACTAAGCCTATAATAAATTACTGATTCTGTTAACTTGTATTCTTTTTCAGGCTTGGGATGATGTAGTACGTAAAGAAAAGCCTAAAGAGGAGGCCTATGAATATAAAAAGCGTCTAACGTTAGACCATGAGAAGAGTAAACTGAGCCTTGCTGAAATTTATGAGCAGGAATACATCAAACTCAACCAGGTAAGGAGGCCTGAAAGGCAAAGCTCTTACTACGGAAGAAATTGAGAGAACAGACTTTTTGTGACTGTTGAAATCCTGAAACAAGTTTGAGCTTTTGGTCACTTGACTTAAGGTGAGACAAAGCACACTAGGACGGGGACCCTCGTGTTCTGCTGAGTGCGGAGGGGCAGGGGGCTTGTCCTGCAGCTGGACCGCGCGTACCTCATCCTCGCAGAGCCAGCTACTGACTAGATAGTATTCTATCTCGCTGTCATTTTGTGGTACTTTCTCACTGATATTTTGAAGTTACTGATTGATGTGTTTTGTGTGACTGTGAGTTCATCCTTATTTACAGACATTAGAAGTAATCTCTGGCCAAAGAGCAGCATAAAAAGACTAAATATTGAAGTATTGCTTTATATTGGATTTATTGGTAATGTGGTCAGTATGTGCTTAGGAATTAGATGGATTTTTATTCTGCAAAGTCCTGTCAGCTTGCTATCATGTTTTAAATGATACTAAACAGCAACAGCAGACAGTGCCCTGGTGTACTGTGCCGTGACAGCACTGGAGAGATTTGAGTTAAGGCTTCCTAGCTGCCGGTCTCCCGGGTAATAGTTGAAGGGTGAAGTAGGCAGCATCAGTCCGTGATTATTGAACATCTACTGTTTTGAAGAGATTCAAAAAATGGAGAGAAGTGTTGGTAACCATGGGAGGTAATCCAGCAGCTTATGCAAGTTCTGTAAGAGTGGTCTCATTTCTCTCTTAGCAGCCAGCAACTTGTTGAATTTTGGAGTGTGGACAGACTTGGAATTTGGGTGGATTAATTAGACTATTTCTACCCCATTCCATTTTGAAGTAGAGTTTTGGAATGATGATAAGTGTCTCTCTGATTTAGTTTGGTTTTTGAGACAGTGTCTCATTGCATAGTCCAGGCTGGTTTCAAACTCACAGTGGTCCTCCTGCCTCGGCCTCTGGAATGCTGGGATTATAGGTGCGTGCCACCACACCCGGCTCTGAAGTTTGATAGCTGTACTAGAGGCAGTAAGCAAAGTGACGGGAGACAACAAACTCATGAATGACCTCACAACTGTATGGGTAACATGTGTCAGAAAGGTGGTATCACATATGGGGATTTCACAGGTGTTATTGCCCAGGGTGAGTGCAAGGATATGTTCAGGGTGGTTTTTGTGGTTTTCTTTTTGCTTTGAGGTAGGCTTTGCTATGTCATTCAGGCTGCTCTTAAACTTTTGGGCTCAGGGATCCTCTTGCCTCAGCCTGCCGTCTGGCTGAGACTGTAGGCACACACCATCCACTCTGCCACAGGATCTTTTAAAAAGTGAATTATGTTAAAATAGTAAGCAGTTGCAGTGTGGTGCCTACATGTTCTGGACCATGAGTGCTGATGGCAGACAGCAGAGGCAGATCTGTGGATGTATCCCTGGAGTCATGGAGACGGAGAACTTGTCATCCCTGGTTCTGTCTTTATTTCTCTCTTGTCATTTAAAAAAACAAAAGAAAACAAACCAGCAAAAATGATCTTAGTCTTTTAGATAAGTATTTTCGGGCCATGGAAAAAAGTATGAAATTTACCTTTCCTCCATAGTAGAATTAAAACTCCTGCCGGTGTCTTCAATGTGATTAGTCAAAACAAAATTTTAACAAATGATACGTGAATAAAAAGGTAAAAAAGTACCTGGCTATTTGGATCATTATATGAAGCCTTCATGGGTACTTTTCTTCTCTCCCTTATTGACATGATACACATTTAAACATAAACTTAATCATTTTGAATAGTCCAGGATCATTTAATACAATACAGTGTTGTGCAAGTACTGCCTCTGCAATCCCAGGGTGTAACACCCCCTCAAAAGCCGTGCCCGTTAGGCAGCTGCTCCAGACACCGCATCCCGCTCTGGATTCGATATTTCGTGTGAATGGAATCACGTGGGCTGCCGTTCTTGTAACGTGATGTGGGGTTTTCGATTGTGTCACGTGTCAGTGCTTCCTTTTGTGTGACGAGGTAACATTGTAGATGTGTACCACAATTTGTTTATTCAGTCTTGCATGGATGGGCATTTGGACTATTTCTAGCTTTCGGGGGTGACACCTGGGTTTGAGTGCCTGCTTTTAATTCTCTCGAGTATATGTCTGCAGTAGGAATGCTAATTCTGCTTCACCTTTTGAGGAACTGCCACACTTGATGTCACTACACGACCCCATTTCACTTTCCTACCGGCAGTGCAGAGGTTCCAGCTTTGCTGTCTCTTCACCAACACTTACTTTTCCTTTTCAAAAAAACTAGCCACCTTAATTAGAGTGGCTTTGTTCTTGACAGAAGTAAACCCGGAGGAAATTAAATTATAATTCTAAATGTCAGGCAATAGTTAACCGTGGCTTCTAAAACACATCCCGTGTTTTCCTTGGTCAGTGCTGGCACCATGATGGTGCTGGCACCTTTAGCTTTCCCCTGGGATTGCTTCTTTGTAGCTGAAGCCGTGGTGCTGAGAAATTGGGAATACCAGGTAGTGTTTTACCTGAGATACATGTAAAGCCCCTTTTGTGTGATGTTGATGAACTTATTTCCTAAGCAAAAAACTGCAGAAGAAGAAAACCCAGAGCACGTGGAAATTCAGAAGATGATGGATTCTCTCTTCTTAAAACTAGATGCACTGTCCAACTTCCACTTCATCCCCAAACCGGTGAGTGTGTTGAGAGTCGCGTGTGTGAACGGAGCAGGTGTGACCCTAGTCACTGAGCTGCTTCTGTGAGACTAATCTTGGTTTGCTGTCGGGACACAAACCCCTAGTAACCTTGTGAAGTGTAGGTGGCACTCCCGGAGGATTGCTCACTTCTGCTTCCTTGCTGATTCTGGCTGTGCCTGCTGACCCAGCCTGCTCTCCAGTGATCCCTCGGGGACCCTCAGTCTCGGGCTGCCCTGGAGCCCACACTTGCGCTTCCATTGTGTGATGGCTGTGGGCACAAAGTGCCTGCTGTGTGCCGTAGTAGGTCCTTTGCATACCTTGATGCTGTTTTGTTTCTGAGCTTTCTTTGAGATACTTTCCTAGGCTCAAGTTACCCTCTTGGCTCGGCCTCCGTAGTAGCTGGGATGAGAGGGATGCACCTGGCTATCACGCATGCATTCTTGTTCTTGAGGACCATACTGAACCCGGGGCCTTCACCTTGAGCTGTCTCCCCAGACCTTTTTTATTTTAATTTTGAGACAAGGTCTTCTCAGTCACTAAGGTGTCCAGGCTGAGCTTGAACAAAACACTGAAACAGATGTAACTCTTTTGTTTGCAAATGGTGGCTTAGGACCTGGAGGAGTTTAAATAATTAGAGCTGCCCCCGCGCTCCTACTCCTGTGCCTGGGTGTCCTTATCTGCTCACTGGAAATACTGTACTCACACCTTCTGCAGGGTTTTGTGATTCAGAGTTAATGTGAAAACCAGGCGTGGTGGTGCATACCTGGAATCCTAGGGCTCAGGTGGCCAAGGCTGAAGAGTACCACGAGTTGAAGACAGCTAGGCGACATAGTGAGTTCAAGGCCAGCCTGAAATACTAGCAAGACTTGTCTCAGAAAAATCAAATAATCGAACAGTTATTTCTTTTTTTTTTTTTTTTTTTTTTTTTTTTATTGGTACTGGGGATTGAACTCACGACCGCCTGCTTGCAAGGCAGGTGCTTATGCTGCTGAGCTAAATCTCTAGCCCCTTGAAGAGTTATTTGTATGATTAGCTTTTATTATTTTTAATTAAACTGGGATTTACATGAGAGGAAATTGTTGATGGCAAGAAACTTTCTTTTGATGGCAGTGGGTATTGAACCCATGGCCTTTGCGCAGCTCTATCCCCAGCCCTTTATTTTGAGCAGGGTCTCTAATTGCCCAGGCTGTGCTCAGACTTGCGCTCCCCCGACCTCAGCCTCCTGGTGTCGGGGTTGCAGGCCTGCACCAGCATGCCTCCCAAGGACCATTTTTAGGTATTGGCTGGTGTAAAACAAACAATAGGAGAGGAAGCTCTCCGCCACTGTTGGCCAGCAGGTCTTACTGTGAAAGTCCTTCCTTCCTGCCTGTTGGGCTCCCTAGTTTGCTGCCCCAGCCACACTGGCTTCTAGTTCCTTCACAGCCTGAGCCCCACCTCCGCACAGGACTTTGCTGAGGTGCTCTTGCCGTGCCCAGTGGGCTCCTCGTCCTCCTTTGGTGCCCGACTCCTTATTCCAGCCCTTTACTGAGAACACGCTAGTGCCCCTCCCCGCCCTTGTCACCCCTGCTCCCTCCTTCATGGCTGCACTGCACATTTGCAGGGTTCACTGTTCTCCCCTTCGAGCCAGCCTGAATGTACCTGCCATGCCACTGCTGTCTGCCTCACACCGGCTCTTGACTTGGGGACGCCCTCAGGCATTTTTTTGAGGAGTCAGTGTGGTTGTGTCTCCTGGCCTCAACTGGAAAATTGGGGGGGGGGGGGGGTTTGGCCTTTTCCTCTTGAGAAATGTAAATTAGCAGTGCAGATTTCCTTTGCTAATTTCTCTCATTTTTTTGGTACCAGGGATCAAACTCATGACCTTGTGCCTGCCAGGCAGGCATTTATACCACTGAGCTAAATCCTGGGCCCGATTATTTCTCTTTTCATATTTAGGTCAGTGTTACACACAACAGCTCATCAGCCTGTTTTTGTTAGTTTTTTGGAGGACTGTCTCTATTTGCTACATATTTCTCTTTAAATTTTACAATGAGGCACAGTGTTCTTTGAATAATTGAGCAGTGGTCCAATGAAAGAAACAGTTTCCTTCACACTCTGACAGTTTCTCATACTTAGGATCCAGGGCGCTGTCATGTCCTGAGCTTCTCCTTTGTGCAGTCGAGGCTGCTAACCTCCCAGCTAACTGGACTGTACAGGACTGTGATGAGAAGAGGAGTGGGCAGGCGGGCGGGCGTCCACGGTGCCTCGCCCTGCAGCCCAGGCTCCCGGAGTTGGGGCCCCTCTTTCCCATGACTCAGTCTGTAGCAACAGAGGGGGTCTAAAGTCCTACTCCGTTGGCCTCTGTCCCTCGGAGCCCTCACAGGGATTTGTGAGAGTAAGATATCAAGAATGCTCGTATAACTATATAAGTATAACATGATTGCCATGGTTCTTTTATTATAGTGAGTACTGTGAAACCTGTTTTCATTTTGCATTTCTTGATCAGGTCTTTCAAAAAATAGAAGCAAAAAAAATTTGATCTTATGTTTTTTCTCCTTTTTAAGAGCAATAGATTTACTTCGGTAATGTTTGAGTCTGTTACCATTTTATATTTGCATTTATAAATATATGTTTTTAGAAAATAAGAAAACTTATTATCCAGTGGTCTCCACTTTTACTTATTCCCGGAGCATTTTATTTTCATCTTTCTCCAAATGATTATTAAAGCTGACTTTTATTCTATAACCGAAGATAGTATGATATTAGCAGTAATCGGTATATTTATAGGCAGTTGATAGGATTGTTTGAGAGTGTCCATGTACGTGGCAGGTGGGAACACACTGATACAGACGGAGGAACTAGTGTTTGAGTTAGAGCGGTCTTGTCCAAGTGTAGAAGTAAGTGCAGTAATTACCATAAAACATTTTATATATTGTATGTTGGGACCACTTCGGACTTGCCTTTAAATGTGTTGTCTCTTGTAGCCGGTGCCCGAGATTAAAGTGGTGTCCAATCTGCCAGCGATAACCATGGAGGAAGTGGCCCCCGTGAGCGTCAGCGACGCAGCCCTGCTGGCCCCGGAGGAGATCAAGGTAAGCAGCCCGTGTCTGTTTACGGGTTAGTTCACGATTGCTGGACCTCCATCTATGTGGTACTATTTTCCTTGAGTGTAGTTTTTATTCTAATGTGTCTCAGCAGTCTCTTGATACAGGCAGCCCTCCATCTGTCTTGAATTCCAGCTGACCATGGGATGGCAATATTCAGATTATATACTGAATATGAGCATACTTTTTTGGGTCATTATTCCCTAAACAATACAGTGTAAGAACTGTATGCCTAACATTTACATTGTGTTAGATGTTATAAATTGTCTAGAGGTGATTTAAACTCTATAGGAGACTGACTAGGTCGCATACAAATACACCCTTATATAAGGAACTTGAGCACGTGAGGAGGTTGGGGATCTGGAACCAGTCCCCTTTGAATGCTATCAGATGACTGAATAATCAAACCAGTAATGTTCCAGTACTGAGAAACCTGTCCCCTACCTGGGCATTGTGGCATATGCCTAAGAGGCTGAGCAGGAAGATCACAAATTCAAGCCCAGCTGAACAATTTAGCAACTTAGTGAGACCTGCCTCAAAATAAAAATAGTCCCCTACATGCAAGCATTATTATGAGTTGCAGCTATAAGTACTATAATAGTTTTTCAGTAGTTTCCAATTACTGTTTTAATCAAACATGAGTACCAGCAGTGATGTTTAAAAATACTGTTTATATTGTCATATACTGGCAGTGCTGTACCTCAGCATTTCCCTTCTTATTTCATCTGAGTGACACCTACCTGCTAAGGAATCTAGAGTAGGATAGAGCACTGGGGTGTTGGAAGAAGTCGCATTCAGCAGACGCAGCCTGAATGGAGCGTGCGCCTTGTGACGCTGGCGCTGTCTTCCTGGGACGGCTTGTCAGCAGGCCATTTCCTTCCTCCTACTCGCTTTTCTGCAGTGCAGCCACCCCTCTGTCAGTGCCTCTGCCACCCGTGCCTGTGACAGCCTGGTGAGGCCTGGTGATGGGCCAGCGAGTGAGGAGCAGGGGAAGATTGGTCCTTTCCCTCCTCGGGCTCTGTTCCTTGGTCTCAGGGAGCTCCTGACCTGAGCCCAGAGCTGTCAGTGTAGAGCTGAGATGGCCTCTGGAGCCTGTGTCCGAGTCTCGCTGTTAAGAGTGGACTTGTGTTACTAGAACTGTGAGCTGAGAACCAAGTGGTCCATGCTACCTTTGGATTGCTTTGGGGACCAAACTATCCCTGTGAGATTACTCTGCATTTCCACATGCTGGAACATGGACATAACGGCCTGTGAGCTACTTTCCATGCAGTTCCCGCTTTCCAGTTCCCTGAGCCTCTCGAAGCTTAGCTTAACTGCCATGTTGGTACTTACTTTTTTTAACAGGAGAAAAATAAAGCTGGAGATCTAAAAACAGCTGCTGAGAAAACAGCTACAGACAAGAAACGAGAACGGAGGAAAAAGAAATACCAGAAGCGTTTGAAAATAAAGGAGAAAGAGAAGCGGAGAAAATTGCTTGAAAAGAGCAACCCAGATCAAGTCGGGAAGTACAGCAAGGCAGCTGCTTCAGAGAAGTTGAAGCAGCTGACCAAAACTGGCAAAGCGTCCTTGTTAAAGGTAAAGACCGAAGAGAAAGCTGCAGGGGGGCTTGGCGGGGCAGGGCAGGGCTCACAGCACAGCCCCCTGAGGGAGGGAGGGTGCTGCTGGGGCAGGTTTCCATGGTAACCCGGGCCTGGCTCCTGCTTTTCTCCTGTTCTCTCCTTAGATTGTAGGAATGTTGGAGCAGCACAAAATGTACAGGATACCTTGACACTAACTGATGTAGAGTTTCACAATTCTGGCCGTTAGTCACGTTTATCCTATTATAAATGCAGAGTAAACACCTACACTCTTACACTTTTTTCCTTTAGGTGCATTTTGTAACATGAGCATGTGTTGTTTTTAACTGCAGGATGAAGGGAAGGACAAGGCCCTGAAGTCTTCTCAAGCATTCTTTTCTAAGTTACAAGATCAAGTAAAAATGCAAATCAGTGATGCGAAAAAAACAGAAAAGAAAAAGAAGAAACAGGATATTTCTGTCCATAAGTTAAAGCTGTAATGTATTTTTAATATCATGTACATATTAATGTGTAAGCTTCTATAGAGAGCCCTTCCCAGACCTCATCTCAGGCCAAGAAATTTATACTTGTAATCCTATGGAAAAGTCACTGGGATTCCAGCAAGTTAATTCCAGCCTGCTGCTTCCAGTGCCATCCACGGGGAGAATAAAGACACTGACACATTTACAGTGCTGGGGAGCCGGGGTCCTAGTCCAGCCAGAACAAAGGCCTCACCAATGGCCGAAGGCAGATTTTATTAACTCCTGGAAGGGAGTGGTTTGAGGAATGACTGAGAAAGGCAGGAAGCACGGAGTGCCTTGAGCTGGTGCAGGTAGGAGGCCCGAGATTACTTCTGCAGTCTGCAGAGGGAGGATCTGTAGAAAGAGGAATCTGCACAACACAGTAGAGGTAGCATCTAGTGTTTTGGGATCAGTGCTTTAGTCTGATGTGCAAACTTTTCTGCCCTGGGAAGTCATAGTCTCTTATCTCGAGGCTCAATCCCAGTTGACAGCGTGGCATGCTGGCTCTTCCACTTGAATCAACCATGTTTTTTGGGAGTCGCATGGTAGGGAAACAGGGCTGCGTAGCTTCAAAGATCACACACCAGCACCTCAGCAGCCCTGTTTACATTGCTCAAAGCCAATTGAAGGGTTAAAGAAATGGCCTAGCTCGCTCTGCACATACCAGTCCATGAACATAGGGCCAGGTGTAGCCAAAATGGAGATAACTGCTCTTTATTCAAGGAGAGTCATCCAGGTGGTCCTCCACAAGCTTCTATCTGATTGTTATTTTAATAATAAAATTCCTGAGACCTGGCATGGTATCCAAGTGTTCAAGACTTGCACAATGAGATGCCAGTTGGAGTGTTTGGAAGTGTGTGTGCTTCTCTCTGGTTGGGAGGTGGGACCTTGCTTCTGAGGCCCTCCCTTCCTGCCCTGGTGCTGCCTGTGCTAATCTGTCCAGACTGCCAATGGCCCAGGCCTGGTGCAGGCCCCACCAGCTGGAGCACACTGTCCAGAGAGCCAGAGCTGGCTAAGGTTGAGAGGAGGGCACAGAGCCAGCTCCTTCCTCACCACCGCCTTGCAGCAGGAGCTTCTCAAGGTCCTGATCTTCATCTACAGTCCCACTGTTATATCAAGCAGAATTTCCATGTATTGCCTCTGTCTCATCCTTTGGAAAATGATCTTATGTTACCAAGTACTGGGTTAGTGTAGGCTCTGAAGTGCTGTCCATAACCGCATGCAGAGTGGACAGATATGGCTACAAATGAATGCAGTGGCTCTGTACAGCTTGGAAAGTGGACCAGCAGTATGCAGAGAGCCATCTGTTACCACCAGGTGCTTATTTCAGACCTCCCCCCATCTAGGGAAAATGCCTTCGTCTATGTCAGAGTCTGATAATATGATTTGATGGAAACACATTAAACCTTGGTCCAGATGAATAGAAGATGAGAACGAGATTAAGCCAGAGCAACTGGCAGAGCCCTTCTGAGTTTTCATTTACAGAGAAACCTTGGTCAGATCTAGCCAAGGTTTGCTAATGCAGAAACTGACTTGCTGTCAGGCTAGATTAACCAGTTTTGATCCATTTGCTGTGACAAAACACCTAGGACAAGGTCATTTATAGTCAGCAGGATTTCTTACAATAGTGAAAGCTGGAAAAACCCAAGATGAGGGCACCAGTAGGTTTGGTGTCTCAGCTGGTTGTGTTTCTGATGGTGCTCTGGTGTTCCATCACATGGCATGATCCAGAAGGGCTGCAATCACTCCAGCCTTTTGGTGAGAGTTCTCCCTTCCAAAGGGCTCTGACTTCATGACTTAGTCCCATTCTAAAGGCCTCACCACTTAATACTACCATAGGGGCCATAGTGGCTCAGGACAGGAATTTCAGGGAACACTCCCAGTGATGGTGAACCTTTCAGAGAGGAAGGTTGATACTATAACCCAAAACCTGCTTATGTATCACAAATTATCAACACTGCAATTAAACCTGAATGCCTGTACTGAGGTTTTAGTTAAGAAAAACAACTTCCACATTAACATCTTTTGTCTTAAAAATAATGTGTGCCATTGGTTTGCCACCGCTGACTCAGATCACATCATCTGTCTACATAGCTGTAACTTCCAAGTTTTATTCAAGTAGAGTTCACTACAGTACCTCTGCCTTCAAATGAGTATTTTGAGGAATCCTCTTCCTGTAGCCTTGGTGAAGTGTCATTTTTCAGCGGTGACCTGAGTATTACATAGCCTTAGGAGTTTCTCTGTGGTGGTAAAATTCAGCCTGCCAGCCTTCACCCTGCTGCCTGACTTCTCTTACCCGTGACTGCCTCAGTAAGGTGTCAGGATCTGGATGTCTGGCTTGGAGTGACATCATTTTATTTGGCCAAGGGCAGTTTGATATTTGTGGAGTTGAAATCACCTTTTACCTTCTAAGTATTTTCACTTATTGGGGAGATGTATCAGTCCGCTCACTTTTTCAGTGTAATCTTTGATACATTCTAAAGATCACATTCTACATTACTGCTTCCAGCCAGGCACTTTTGTCAGTACCAGTGGTAAAGAAAACATTCCTACTCTCAGGAAGAATGCATTGCAGGGGAATACTTACACACATCTTGAACATAAATTAGAAGCATAATAAAACATTTAAGACACCACGTTTGACCTAAAAAAAACACTAGTCTCCAGAGAGAGTTAAAGAGATAACCATGGCTATCTTGAAATTGGGTGTTTATCATTCTTTTGTATTTATAAGTGTATGTACCACTAGTAATTTTGTATTTGAATTTTATAAAAGAATATTGTATGTTCTCACAAGACTTGCTTTTTTATTTGTTTAATTTCCTTCAAATTCATTCACAATACAGTCAGCTCTCAATATCTGTGGCTTCTACATCTATAGAATCAACCAACCATGGATCAGAACTATTTGGGAAAAAAATAGCATCTGTACTGAACATGTGTGTTTTTTTGTCATTGTCTAAACAATGCAGTATAATCTTTACATGCCATTTACATTTTAGAGCATGCCATCTAGAAATAATGTATACACGTGTACATTTAAGAACTTACGTGAAAAATGTGACACACAAGTTTAAACCTCGCAGTTTCTCTTATATGAGAAGCTCATTATAAATAAAGAGCAAAGTAAAACAATGGGGAGCTCTTTCTCAACCAGGAAACCAAGAGATGGCGTGTTTAGCGCTGTCTTCCCGTTGTTTTTAGTCGTTTTAAGGATACAACATGCACCTTCCCACAGTCTATGTAGGGATAATACACCACTTCCAATAGAAGGCAGGCGCAGGTAACACATTCACAGTCCTGCCCTCTTGGCTGTAGGTGCCCTGTGCCTCACCCACCCGGCCAGAGAGGCTCAGCAGGGCGCCAAGCTGCTGCTTTCGAGTGTGAAAGGAAAGCTGGGCTCTAGGCTCCTCCAGATCTCAGGGTCTGGGGACCCGCAAAGGTGGAAGGGAGGGGCGATCGATCACTCGAGCCTCCACTTGCCGAGCCTGTGGAATCGCGGTGCGGGAGATCGGCTGGAAATGCCTGGAGCGCCGAGCCCAGCCCCGTGGGGTGGGGGTGGGGGCGTGGCGCGCTGTCGAGGGACGCGTGCGCGGGGCGGGGTCGCGCGCGGCGGCGGCGGTGGCAGCGCGGGCTCCGGCGAGCTCGTGTGGCCCGGGCGCGCAGGCGCGGGCCCGGGCTCCGTCGCTGTGGCGGCCGCGCGTGTGCACGAGGCGCGGCGTGGAGGCGACAGTCCCCGCGGGCGCAGTGGCGGGCTCGTCCACCCGGAGCAGTCGCCGATGCGGGAGTTACGTCAAAGGCGCTGGTCAGCGCGCCCTCTTTTATGAAAACGGTAATTCTATGTCCTAAGCAGTCTGCAGTTCCCTTGCAGGGCAGCGAGGACCCTGGAAGAGAGGGGACACAGAAAGTGGGTGCAGAGGTGGCTCCTGGCGTGGCTGTCCGCGTCCAGCGCTGCCTTACCCGGGACAAGGGGACAAGGGCCCCTAAACGCCTTGCCAATCCTCAGATGTTTTATTTTGCAGGAACAAGAGATTGCCTATAGGGTTAACATGAGATTGCGTAGAATCCTTTTTATTCGTTCAAGCCAAAGAAGTAAAACTGGCCATCTTTCAGTCTAGCGCGCATCGCATCCCCACTGGGGTTGCACTTTTTACCCCACTGCTGTGCACAGGATGCCTGAAGGGAAGTCTCCTGACAAAAAAAGGCCCCGTAGAAGCCTGCAAGCCAGCAAAACTAAAAACAATGCCTCTATTACTTCGTTTTTTAACAATGCACCACCCCCTAGACTTGCCTGCCCCGTTTGTAGTAAAATGGTGCCCAGATACGAGCTCAACCGGCACCTTGATGAGATGTGTGCTAACCGTGAAGAGATTATTCAGATTGGCCCGGTGCAGGTGGGAGAAATGAATTCAGATTCACCTACAGTAGAGGTAACTAGTGTGGCCTTAGAAGATGCAACCCGAGAAACATTGTCACCACCAAGAAGTCTAACCCCTGGCCAGAGTGGTCCCGTGAAAGTGGGTGTAAAACAGACTAGTCCCTATTTTAAAAGTAATGCGGCCACAGTATGCAGAAATCAGGAAGAACTGAAAAATCACAATGTGAAGGTCATTTCTTTGGGGAGCCTGTCATCTAAACTGTCGAGAAAGTACATAAAGGCTAAAAGGTCTCTGGGGAAGACTGAGGAACTGGCCAGTCATTGGCCACAGAGTGCTGTACCCACAGCTGTGAGGAGCGTGGCTGATCACAGTTCAGAAGTTGAGAAGGATGAAGATTTGAATAGTTCTCAAAAGGAAAACATTTTTACATGTGACTCGGTAAAGGAAGGGAATACTCCTGAATGCCTGGTGATTAGTAATAAAAAAACAGAAGCTGAAAGCCCAAAGGCTTCCCAGGACCGTGGGAACTTCGCCTTCAGCCCTGGCCTGTCGCACAAAGCTCTCGTAGGATTTTCACCAGATTTAACGCTCCGAAAGAGTTTGAAGTCCTCTTCAGAAGACGGGCTTGTAACGCAAGAGGATATTAAAGGAATAGATGGGCAAGGTGTGGAAAACCGTGAGGTGTGCAGTGGGGAAGGAGTAGAAATCACTGTTGCTTCCGAAGTCAAAGCACTGTTTTCAGGTTCAGAGGCAAAATCTCCTCTTTCTACCAATGATGGTTCTAAAGGGCGTGACGTGCCAGTATCTCTGGAGGGTGACGGCGACCCCCAGGATGAAATGGTTTGCAGCCTTCCGCTGGAGCTGGGGTCAGGCTGTGATGCTCCCGGTAACATGGCTGGAACAGTCCCAAGTCATCCTTACTATCTTCGGAACTTCCTCATGGTCCTGAAAGCCGTCCTGGAGGACGAAGGTGACAGGCTGCTCTTTGATGATGGGGATAAGGAAGTTATCACCAGATTTTACCAGCTATCAGGTACCTGAGCCTGTTTGCTTTCCTGTGGTTTCCTTTTTGCTGTCCTGATTTGGGTGCTATGTAATGGGTGGTGATTCCGTGGCCACAAGGAGTCACTGTGGTTTCCTGAGTTCACTGTGGGAGTGTTAATGGGGATCCGGAGCGCCTACACTAGGATTTGTGTGTCAAGGAAAATTTTGTACCTGTTGATGTCTGCTCCTGCAAACAGTGTGCTAATCACAGTGGGACCAGCCATTTTTCCTTTAAATTGGATGGCTATAAAAAACCTTGTCTGGATAACAAAATATAGCATGACTTGAAAGTAATATACTGTGCATTTTGAGCAGGTAACAGGACTACCTGTTACATTGTTTCGTTCTTCTCATACTCCCAAATGGATGTAAAATAAAACAGGATAAACAAGCCAACATGGGGCCTATTTTCTTCCCTTATTACTTAGATTCATGGGTTCTGGTTGTTAAAATCAGGTTGTGAGGGGAATGGAAACTTTCAAGCTTATACTGGTACATGTAAAAATACTGGTCTGTACCTTAACCCTTAGCAGCCAGTGGTGGCTCCAGGTGGCAGTGCGGGTTTGGAGCAAAAGCCGCCCATGTGTGGCTCACCGTTAATCGAAAGCATCTCGAGGACTGTGTGAAATGGGGTCCTTCTAAGATAGGACGCACTTACTGGGGGGCTATACCGTTTACTTGGTGGCCATGCATGACTCCTCAGGAGATGAAGAAGAATCCTAAGCGTTACTGCTAACATCTGCTTTAAATCCATGTGGTAAAATCATTATGATAGTCCCTGTATTATTTCTTGTGACCAGTGAACTTGAGGACACAAGAGTGTAAAGTGTCCGCACAGCTTGTCTGTTCTGTTCTCAGTGGGATATGGCTGGAGTGATATCACGCCGGCTCCTTACCTGCAGGGATTGCAGTTCTTTGGGTGCCGATTGCATTCACATGATTGGGTAGTTGGTGGCCCTATACTTCCATATTATTAAGAAATAGGAACAATTTCCCTAGTGCACGTTCAACATATTCTTATCTGTTGCACACTTCTATGCAGTGTGTCTTAATGGAAAAGAAGTACTGCTAATTGATCACACTGTTTTAGAGTTGACAGAAATTTAAAGATAATTCAGATAATTAAAGAAACAGACTGAACAGATTCAGAAATTTAGTGTAAATCACTGAGTCAGACATGATTGTCCTACCAAAGCTAGGTATTATTTTTGAAATTTTTTCAGATTATTTTCAACTGAAGTAGAACAATATATATTGAACTAAGAGGGGAAAAATAACTAAAATCCTAAGTAGAGCTTCTCTGAGGGAATAGAAATGTTGGCTAGACAATGAAGGGACTTGATTTTATTTTTAAAATGACCAGTAATTGTGACTGAAGTGGAATTTATTAAATGGGCTATCCCATAAACTGTCATCATTTTGCATAAGGGAAAAAACTGTATTGCTAATAATGTCTGTTTATGCATTTCAGGTTTAAAAAGTAAACAGGATCTGTATGTTACTTTTTTAGAAAAAGGTAATATTTTGTACCATCTTTATTAATTTTACTACAGCCAGTGGTCAGAAGTTATACGTAAGGCTCTTTCAACGAAAGTTAACCTGGATTAAAATGAACAAGTTAGAATACGAAGAGATTGCTGCAGACTTAACACCTGTGGTTGAAGAGTTACAGCGTGCAGGCTTCCTCCAGACAGGTATGGCTGGTAGAAAGAACTGAAATCAAAATGTGACCTGAAGACCTCAGTTTCTGCGCGGGATGTTAACATCAGCTGGCGGCATCGCCTGGTTGGTGCCTGGAAAGTAGTAATCGCTTGTTTTTTAAAACAGTTTTTAATACAACGTAATAATTTATTCATATGGCAGTAAAACTGTTCACAGCTTGGGTTAAAACCGGTATGACAGTGAAGAGTTATCTTGATGCTTTCTTGCCTGACCCAGATTTTCAACCACACCATTCTGTTTACCACAGAAAAAATGCATTTCTCTTTAGTTTTTCCAGCAAGAACTTAATTCACCTTATTCAGATTCCTGTCTTTATGGAAGAATGGAGCTGCCTTATTTGCAGTCAGTGTTGCCTCTAAAATCTTCACCTACCCCCGTGTGCACTCACAGACAGCTTTCATGCACTGATTGCCTAGCGAGTTGTTTCACTGATTTAAACTCCTGAACCCTAAGGAGACCGTTATCGCCAGCAATACCCTGCATTGCCTCACTAGAGCGTTAAGTACCTATGTGCACCAGACTGTCTGGAGAATTAGGTGCAAGGAGAATGAAAGATGAGAGCTTTGCGTTCAAGTTGCTGATATTTTAGATAAAGTCAGCAAATGAGGCCAGATGGTTTATTGGGAGTAGAATTCATGGTTGGAAACAATAGGTAAAGACAAACTTCACGTAATGGTTAGGACGGGGTGAGAAAGGGTGAGTGGGAAATGCTGGGTGGAGATTTCCCTGCCCAGCAAAGGAGCTTGACATGTGTAGTTGTGACTACTCAGAAGTGACTCCTGGTGGACGAGCACCCTGCTCACATGGTGTGTGCGCAGTCTTAGCACTGTGGGCATCCAGTGCATAACCAGTAAACGCTGGTGGTTTGGAAGAAGGCACTGCCCCAGACTGAGAACATGTGCAGGCCAGGACCAGCCTGGCCTGACTCAGCCACATGCGTGGGGCCTAGTGTGGTGTCTGGGGCACACGTGCTCCTGGCTGCAGAGTGAGTGAGTCTGTGCAGGGGCTGCCAGCCTACAGCACGAGCAGGGAGAGGCCTGGGGAGAAGAGAGCTGATGGTCAGTTTACTGTGACCAGCTTCGGCCAGGTCCCACTGAGGACTGTCAGACAAAGACAGGGAAAGGGTTTCCCAGGAAGCCCAAACCGTAATGGCTGTTCCTGTCTGCTTAGTTATGCTCTCATTTTTACTTTTTAGTGAGAAATTCTGTTGTTACTCTTGCCAACTAGTTTTTAGCTTCAGCAAATTCATTAAATTCTCTACAGTAAAGTTCCATTGTATTTTCACCTAGCTAAGCTTACATTTCCTCCAGTAAAGCTAGGAAATAGTTACGTTATTTAACATAGCTTTCATTTGTTCTTGTTAGAATCTGAGTTACAAGAGCTCTCCGAAGTCCTTGAACTCCTCTCGGCTCCTGAACTGAAAGCCCTGGCCAAGACCTTCCATCTGGTGAACCCCAGCGGACAGAAGCAGCAGCTGGTCGACGCCTTTCTCAGACTGGCCAGGCAGCGCTCAGTCTGCACCTGGGGCAAGAGTCAGCCTGGAATTGGCGCTGTGATCTTGAAAAGGTTTGACTGTTAAAATAAAGGCACTTACAGTTTCGATGGCTGGGCTGGGGGAGTAGTGCAGAGCTCCCGTAACCTGTGTGTGGCCCTGGTTTGATCCCCAGCATTGGGAAAAACACAAGAAGTTCATAGTGTGTTACATCATTATTATAGATTGTTTACTTGTTTGAATTATAATTGCTTATTTCAGTTGGCATTAGATTGAAAAGTCAGGAAGAACTTTAATTATAGTAGCCTGGATTCTTTCTTCGCTCATTACTCAAAATTTGTGTTGTAAGTCTACACTAATTTCTAGGACCAGGGAAAATCAGTAGGTAATAGGGCAAAGACAATAGGCCTTTAGCAAATTCTAGTATTTTATTACTCAAAATAGTTTTTAACTCTGTTCTTACAGACTTTAGGGCAGCTATTTAGTCATTAAAGTAATGTTTCTGTTGACATGTAGTTTGTCTTAAGGCACAGCCTCACGTAGGCTAGGCAAGCATGCACTGCCAAGACTGTTTCAGTTTACTAAAGTCCTTTAAAATGGTACTTGATCTCTTCATTTTGATTAGTTCCCAGCAGTAGAATTTGAGAGTTCCGATGGATCCAAAGCAGGGCAGTTCTTGGCTGTCTTTCTCTAGTGTTATGAGGAAATGGAAAAAAGTATGTTATTTGTCTTTTTAAATCCTGGTAGAGAATCACCGCTTGGTTTGCCATGTTTGATGCTTGCTCTCACAGCCTGGGGCATCCCTGGAGCTCTGTGTGCAGATGCAGGAAGTGGGTATTGCTCCTCCCTCCTTCCCTCTCTTTCTCTCCTACCAGGGACTTGGGCATTCGAGGCATGTGTTTTATCATTGGCCTACACCTCTGCCCAGAAGTGGGCACTTTGCGGCAGTGTGTAAGATGAGTGTACTTAATAAAATGGCAGTTTGTCTGTCGGGGTCCTGCTCTGGTCCCCTTAAGTCTCTGATGATATCTGGGGACAGTTTTGATTTCCATCACTGGAGCACGTGGTGTAATGGCTCCACACGAGTGGAGGCCAGGGATGCTGTTGTGTGCCTGTAATGCATGGAACAGACCCTGCCACAGAAAGTTACCCGGCCTAAAGATCAGTAGCGCTGAGCCTGAGAAGTCCTGATAGACTTGAGAGACGCTAAATTGCTAGAGTTCAGAGTACCCTCACTGTACTAGACATGCAGAATGGAACCGAATTCATTCTGAGATTACCTTGCCTCAGCCTTCCAAAGCCTTGTGGTTATAGGCATGCACCACTATACCAGTACCATTTACCTTTATGTTACCTGAAAACAATGTGTAAAATATAATATACAGATGCTTCAAAACCAGTAAAGTCTTGCTATAATGTACATTTTTCAGAGCTAAAGGCTTGGCTGGACAGTCACTCCGAGTCTGTAAAGGTCCCAGGGCTGTGTTTTCTCGAATCTTACTCCTGTTTTCATTGACTGACTCTGTGGAAGATGAAGAAGGTGCTTGTGGTGGTCAAGGTCAGCTTTCTACCGTGCTTTTGGTCACTCTTGGCCGAATGGAATTTCCTAGATATACCGTCAACCGAAAAATCCAGGTCTTCCAAGACAGAGAGGATCTTATTAGGTAAGATCGTGTTAACTCACCGTAATACTCCTTAAGATGTAATGAAAGGTTTTATTATTTTTCCTTCCAGGCAAAGTAGAAATGCTACAGCCAAACACGGTTTGAAGCAGATAGTTTTGATATCTTTTTGCTTTACTTGAATGCATTTTTAAGTCTCCAGGGGGAGTGTAGAATTGTACTGAGATGAAGGTTGCCAAATGCAATGGATTTTGAGTTCCTGCTACAGAAATTTTCCTATCTTATGTTCCCAAGTAGCTTTGGCAGGAAGCACTTTTTCAATACGAAGGCATTTTAACAAACTTGCCTGGATATTTTGTTAGCATGAGCAAGGCAAAAGATAAATGGTTTCCTCTTCCTAAAACTTCCTGGCGATAATCATTAATCTAATAATAGTTTCTACATGGAATATTAGAATCACATACGTGTTAAAGGAGAAGTTTTCACTCATAGTATGCATACTGTGTATTAGAATCCCATACAGGACCTTAGAAATTTTCACTAATTTATATTAGTACTTTTAATGAAATTTAATAAAAATTTAGTCCGATCAACAAAAGTAGGTTTGATGAAGAATAGTGTAGTTCTTACAAGGAAAACCCCACGTGGGCTTCCTTTAACAGAGCACCTTTCATAAGAAGATTCATTTTGGATTTAGTAAAACACCACCTTAGATTCTCGATTCACATTTTTGGCTGAAATTTGACCGAGATTGATTCAGGTAATTGCTTTCGGGAAAGCCCCTGCAGTGCTGCAGAGCAGCCACGTGCTTTAAAATACAGTTACTTAGCTCTTGAGTCAAAGCAGGAAGCCCCTTTGCCTCCGCGTCAGCCAGACCTCCTACGGGGTAGCTCTGCGTAGCCGGTTTCCGGTGGGCTTGTATTGTTTTACCGTTTTTGTTTGTAGTGGCTTTGTGCTGTTCTCTCGTGTGAGGCTGTGTGCCCTGAAGCCAAGCTGAAGTTTCACTGTACTCGTAGATTCTGAAACCACTGGGCCTTGTCGGTGTCGCTCCCGGCCGGCAGGAAAGACACACGACAAAGTCTGGCGGTGTGCAACCTTGTCTTTATTTGTCTCCGCGTGGGCCCCGCGAGGCCTCCTCTCTGCCACCAGCCCTTTCTCGCTGGTGGACTTTCTCTATCTCTCTCTGCGCTTCTTCTCTCATGGCGGGAGAGGCATTCACTTTTATAGGGTAACAGTAGCCAATCAGTTCAAAGCGCGCGATGCGGGCTGATTGGCTAACATCAGTTGTTGCTAGGCAGACTATCTTACAGAGCGGGTTGTTTAAGTCGCCAGGGCAATCAGGGGGCAGGAAGCAGGCGCCAACTTGGCTCACTCGATGGGAGGGGTAATTTAGCTCAGGCTTTGCTCCTTTCTACAGGCCTCACGTCCGCCAAGTAAAGCGACCGGTGTCGGCCGCGGCTCCCAACAGGGCCTTAGTTTCTTCCCCTATAAAATGGGGAGAATAGCCGTCTCTTCTTAGAGATAACGTGTTGTTACGTGGGTGGTACCTAGCTTGTGTTAGTTATTATTATAATTACTGTTCTGTCTGAGGGGTCTGCCTTATAGTTCCATGATGGACAAAACATATTTCACAAGTTTATAAGTGAGGAGACTCGGCAAAAAAAGCAAGCCATCTCCTATGCTTTCTATTGAAATACAATATTTAAAAACCCCTTTGCAACACCAAGGCCCTTGCATGTACATAAAACTGGGTCTGAGTGACTTGGGAAGGGTCATCTACAGTGCCTGGAAATATGACACCTCTGTCACTTCTGTACTTGAGAGAACTGATCTCGATTTATTCAGTAGAAATGAATTGAGTGCCAAGTACCTTTCATACCCCGGTAGCAGGGTTGGAGCGGTGACCAGGGTGGGCTCACTGCCCTAATGGGGTCGCATTTCCCTGGAGGGATGGATACGCGGTGACAGCGCTGTGTGAGGAGTGCTGTAGCATCTGGGGGCCTAGAAGTTCAGCCGCACGGATGGGTAGGGTCAGGGAGTGACCCTGTAAGGCAGCATTGGAAACGAGAGCTGGGAATGAAGAAGAGGTCCCGAGTCGGGCTCTGGGCCCCTGCCCCAGGCAAGGAAGTGCGGGGCAGGACTGGCCGGGATGGAGGGACGCAGGGCCACCACCCTAAGGTTCCAGCTGGCAGCAGTTCAGAGGGCAGTCACACAGGGACCAGCACTGAAGGGGCAGAGGGTGCTCAGCCTCGGCCCCGCGGCACCGGCTCAGTCGGTTTTCTGAGCCACAAGAAGCTTTCAAGACGTTGGGACGGCTGCTTTGATTTTGGTGGCAGGCTAGGTGGAGGACAGGAGTGGCCATCCGGACTAGGCTAGCAGCAGGAGAAGTGAGCCGGGTGAGACTCCCCAAATGGATTAGACCTGGGGATGAAGGGAGCAGTGGCGCGAGGGTGGCCCCGGTGCCCTGCTGGAGGGTGTCCAGGCCCCTGGGAGGCGGTGCTGCCCTGAGGGTCAGAGCGGGGCCTGTAGCTGCGTGGGTGGCACTGTGCTGTGTGGCCTTGGAGGTGCTGCCCAGGGCGGGTCCCAGCCAGACAGAGAGTGGTGAGGGCCATTGCCTGTGACTGGGGGCTGGGGCCGTGGAGCGGAGTGAGGAGGGAGCCAGCTTCAGAGCCTGGCGGAGGGGCGGCAGCCCGGAGGGAGGGAGGGAGGTAGGAGGCCACTTCCCAGCAGGGTGACCTGAAGGAGAAGGGGCACTGAGGAAACAGGGTTAGAGCACGGTGCCCGTGAGGCTACGCCAGTCTCGTTTCCTTCTCAACCTCAGAGGCAGTGGCCCGGTAGCACTTAGACCTAAGAGTGAGGAGATTTTTATATGTGGAGGAAATTTTTTTCTCAATGTACACTGTTTGTACACACTAACATTGCGTGCATTTTCTTTGGACATGAACCCAAAATATAATGAATTACAGATTCCACTGGTCAGGTGACTTTTTTTGGTATCTAAAGAAGCAATGAAAAATCATCTGATGCAGCTCTGTGGCATTCATAAAATGTCAGTGTTGCCATCTTTTAAACTGTGCCCCCAAAGTTATTTTTATCTTTATCTTTTGTACTGGGTATCAAACTCGGGACCTTGTGCTTGCCAGGAAGGGGCTTGAGCCACTCAGCTCTAACCGCAGCCCGTCCTGAAGTTATTTTTGAAATCTCCTAGGTAAGTCTCTTAGTTTGGACAGCATCCTTCTGGCTACATTTGCTTGTGAATGATTATCAGATCAGTGTCTTGCTGTGATTCTGGAGTCAGTTTCGTGTTTACTTGGTGGTCACCAAATGAACGAACGAATTCCACAAACCAGGGGTGACAAGCTGATGGAGGTCATATCCCTGTAATGGCACTTGAGGCGGAATCGTGTCCTGTAACTGTTTACTTTGATTGCTGGGCAGCCTTTGTAAGTTCTCCGGGGCCATTCCAGGGAAGAGTCAGATTTTAAAAGGCATGCGTTGCTTCTTCAGAGCTTGACCTGGTGGCTGGGACGTGGCAGTGGTCAGGGGAACGCTCCTTACCACTTGGAGCTTGGTGGCATCTCTCCCCAGGTACGCAGCGGCTGTGCATACGCTGAGTGACATTTCCGCCGCCATGGCCAGTGGGAACTGGGCTGAAGCCAAGGAGCTGTCTGACGGTGCAAAGAGGGAGTGGAGCAAACTGAAAGACCACCCTTCCCTGAGGTAACAAATCGGATTTTCTCTTTGGGGCCTGCTGCCTTGCACAGGTCGGGGACCACTCAACCCGGGAGCCACACCTCTAGTGGGTTCCTTTCAGGCTCCTGCTAAAAGTGGCTCGCTGACCACCATCCTTCTAATCTCAGAAAGATTTTACTCATAAGGAACTTTCTCCTGTGGCTTTGCCGTCACATCAGTGCAGAATTGGAATTTTCTGCTTGTCTTGCATAGCATCAGAGTGCTGTGTGTCACAGAAGGGAGTGGCAGAGCTCAAAATGAATTTCATGTCTCTCAGAGGCCTGGACAGTGGACACTGGGCTTTTAGCTTGCCAGCGCCTTTCAGGGCGTGCCCTCCTGGAGCTGCGGCACCGACCTGCCCGTGAGGGTGCAGACTGAGAGCTTCTCACGGAGACCCAGGCCCGCCGTGCTCTGCAGACGGAGCCGCAGGCGTTGGCTGTGGCAGGGCCCAGAGCACAGCGCGCGTCTTCTGTGGTTCTCTGATACACGCGAACCCGGCGGCACTGTGGGGACGGTTTCCTCTGTCGATGCATAGCGATGAGAAGGACCAGGGGCTCCAGTGCTGCTTTCATCAAGCTATTCAGGAAACGCGTTTTATAAAGCGTAATGTTGATGTAGGATTCGTAGCCAGGAACTTGGAAGCCAGATGAGTGAAGAGCAGAGGTTGCTGAACTTCTGTAAAAAGCCAGGTAGTTTTGAGGCTTTGCAGGCCATGGGGATTCTCAGGCAGCAACCCCGCCGGGTCATCGCCATGCAGCCTCAGATGTGGGCGAGGTCTGGGGAGCGAGGCACCCCGAGGCCTTGGTTCACTGTCACTGTCCGCGGTCCGGACGGCCGGTCTCCTCGGGATCGCTCCCACTGACGTAAAGTGGTAAAGCCTGGAGGGCGGGGTAGGAAACCAGGCTGGCAAGCTGGCGGGGAGCAGTCTGCTGTGCCCTGGCACAGCGCGTGAACATGCACGGCAGCTGCGGGGCATTACTCAGAAGAGGAAAAGAAAGGATTGTGAATGTTTTGCCGTGGTGAAGTGATCAGTGTCGGGGAAGGAAGACATGTTGAACCTGATCACACAGTGCGTACGTGTATTGAAGTATCCAACCATGCCCCATATAGTTTTTGTGTTTTTCTGTATCAGAAACTTTTCAAAAGAAATGCTAGCTGCATATACAGAAAAGTAAATATTGAAATGCATTTTGAAGAAAAGTAAAACTATCTTGCTTTTGCTTAGGACTAGGAAAACTGGGGGAGTGGGCCTGGCCTGCGAGCTGGCTTGCTGACCCCTGTCTGCAGTGTTCCCAGGTGTTCTGATCCTACTCCATCCCCTGAGCTGCCCAGGGCCGGGGCTGGCTCCGAGAGTGTGGGTTTGTGCTGAAGAAAACTGGACATGACCCGAAGCAGCGAGGCTACAGCTTTTTAAAAGAGTTCCGGGGTCTTTGCCACCCCTTGTAGTGATCTTACAACAAATAAACCTGATTATTAACCACTGTTAATAGTCATGCTTACTAACGAGTGTGTGTTTCCACTTTAGGTACCATGAGAATTTACCCCTCTTCCTGCGGTGCTTTACTGTTGGGTGGATTTACACGCGGATTTTGTCCCGGACTGTTGAGATACTGCAGAGACTTCATATGTATGAGGTTAGCGCTCTGTCCCTGCTCCCCGAACTGGGTGTGGCATTGCCACCTGTGTGAGGGGACCCTCCTGAGCTCTCAGCACTGCCCGTGTTTGGTCAGCGTGCTGTAGCACCCTGAGAGCGTTTCGGATGTGGGCAGCCTGCTGTCTCTCAGTTAGCAGAGAGACCACTGAAGACCAACTTCTGCTCGGTTGCTTTGTGAAGTGATGAGTCTGTGTACAGAGTAGATCACGGACAGACCCGCATGGAGGCCCAGACAGGCCTCCATCGCCCAGCCCCGAATCTTTCAGAACTCTGCGGCCCCTGGGAGCTTCCCCAAAATCTGAGGCCTAAACCTCACTCTTTATGTTTCCCTGTCAGCTGTCTCAGGTGGTTTAGAAATAACTTACAGTTAGGTGTCCGAAATGTAGCTGTATCTTTATAGCAAACATTGTGAAGTTGCCCGAGTTTCCTTTTGTTGTATTTGGTGTTTCAATATCAAAAAGTGTTTCAAAAAGAGAACATGCTACGCTGAGTTTGTAATCTCAGGTCTCTGAAGGTCAGAAGGATCCCCATTGGGCTTAGGGAATCTGTGGCTCTCCAAATTGTATGCATACAGGGTTTCTGCATTTTTCTGGGTAGTAATCTCTCAGAGAGATCCGTGAACCACAAAAGGAGCGTAATGAGTGGGCGGATGCATACATCTAGAGCAGAGGGTCTCCCTGTCTCTGTGGGGTGTCAGATGGAGGGCCACCCTTTGTTACTGTGGTGCCTGCCCCATATCTCAGCTGTCGGAGCCCTCACCACTGCTCAGTTGCCCACTGGAGCTTGGTCCCACAGGGCACTGTCCTGTCTGCCGTGACCTGGGAGAATGTTGGTGCCATGCGGGTGTGGGCCAGCAGGCAGGGCTGCCTCAGGAACGCAGGCCACACCGCAGGGTGTGCCATGGTCCTTGGCCTCAGGATGGAGAGATACACAGGATAAGTGTCCTTTGCCAGTCCTTTTCACTTCTGAATGTAATCGCAATTGACTGTTTAAGGTGTGCCAAGCTGTCTTTGTCATTGTTACAATAGGAAGCCGTGGAGCAACTTGAAAACCTTTTGTCTCAGGAAGTTTACTGTCCTGACAGCAGAGGCCGATGGTGGGATCGACTGGCTCTCAACCTGCACCAGCACCTGAAGCGCCTGGAGCCGGTAAGCAGGAGGGCGCTGTATCGCTGGCCTGGCACTGGACATGGTTCCCGGCACCCACAGCGTAAAGGAGGAGAGGCATTTGGCTTCCAGTTTTAATCTGTGACTCCCTGGACCCAAGCAGAAGGCCACGGTGGAAGAGCCTGATAAAAAAAGCTGCTCACATCACGGCAGCCGCAGAGCAGGGGGGGAGGAGTGGGGGCTCAGGATCCGCCGTTTAAGGCGAGGAACTCAGCACCCCTGACCCCAGCTCCTGAGATCATCCAGGAATGCACCCACTGACAGTGCTCACTCTCTCATGATGCAATCACCTTCTGCACACAGAAGCATTTGGGGGACATTTTAGGTCTAAGCTACAACAAATATCTAAGCTCTTCTTGCTTTCAGATGCATTTTTTAAATAGGGCAGAGTTCTAAGCCCCCTTCTCTTATGCTGAGGATTAAACTCGGGGCTCCCCATTCCAAGCAGGCTCTTTACCCCTGAGCTGCAGCTCCGGCCCAGTGAATATATCGGAGCTCTAAATGGAATTACAACGTTCCTTTCTTTTGACGGCATCCTTTGGGTTTTCCCAACACCAAAAGATATACCAGGATGACACTAGTACAGGTGTCACGATAAAGACAGGAGAGCTTGCACTCCCTTTGCTGACTGCAGAGCTGCTCTGGCAGGGAACTGTGTGGGGTTCAGGAATTTGGGTCTAGCAGTCAGGGGAGAGGGAGGCTGAGATGTCTTAGCCCGCAGTAGGTGTCTGCTAGCTGTTTTGTTTTTTGAGTGAGGTTTCTGTTTTCGTGTTTTGGTATTGGGGATCAGACCCAGGACTCTGCACGAATGTTCTACCCTTGACTGCACTTGCTGCGGCTTATTTTCCTTGGAAATGGTAATTTGCCAATGGTGTGAGACCTCCAGGGAGAAAGGCCAAATGAAATACTCCTTTCCTGCCTTGTTGCAGGTGCTTTGAGAGTCGCTCTCTGTCCTCTGGAAGGTGTTTCGCTCTGCGGTGGTCAAGTGTCTAACGCCTTCTCCGAGGGGCACCAGGGCTCTCTGTGCTGCGTTCTTGGGACTGAAGCAGAAGGATCCTGTTGCTGCAGCGAGCAGGCAGGGTGGGGCCTCCGAGGCTGCTGCCCAGCCAGGTGGCCACAGTGGCTCTTTGTGTAGCTGCCAACAGTCCGCTCCTGTCTCCGTCCCAGCCCTGCATTCCAGTTGAATGGAGGGGTCTGTGCCTTTGGGAGGTTTTATTTTTTCCAGCGGCACATTAAGTGCATCAGAGTGATGTGGAAAAAAATTGGCCATGTAACCTAGAACTATGACATGGTGTTTGTAGTGCCTTCCACCGAGAAGTGACCGAGACTCAGCTGCTGGGAGCCACGTCCTGTCGTGGAGGTGGCCGTGGTGCTGCCTCTTCCACTGCAGCAAAGGTTCACAGATGTCACAGACGACCCACCCGCCCACTCACTTGGACCCTGGTGGCAGAGAGGCCACTGAGCTTCCTGTCCATGCTGAGAAACTGCTGGTCCCTTTTAACTTTCCCAGCAACCCCCCAGCCACACTGGAGGCTGTCATTCCCGGGTGAGCTCTCCGAGCCTACTCCTGCAGGGCACCAGGCGGCCGGCAGGGACTCTGGGGCAGAGGCAGAGCGCTTGGCCTTTCCCTCTGCTCCAGGCCTCTGCCGTCCGCGTCCTGTGCTGGGCACAGAGCATGGGCCAGCATCCCCTTCTTTCTTCCTGACTCCATTTGTGTCTCAGCTTCTCATAGCCTGAGCTTTCACTGGTTTGTTTTCATTGATTTTTACTTGTTTTTCTAAATCTCTGTAACGCACACATAAAGTTCACCATTTGAACAGTGTTTGTGTAAGTGTAAAATTTAGCAGCATTAATTATATGCACAGGATTTTACAGTCATCACTACTGTCTCTGTGTCATCCCAAACAGAAATTGTATAACCATGCAGTAACCGTGCTCCATTCTCCCCTTGCCCGGTCCCTGCTAATCTCTAAGCTGCTTTCTGTCCTGGGAAGGAGCCTGTTCCAGGTATTGCATATCCTCGTGTTTCCTTAGCATAATGTTTCCAGGCTTCATCCATGTCAGAGTATGCAGAGCTCTATTCATTTTATGGCTGGGTAATATTCCACTGTACATAGAGACTGTCGCTGGTTTATCCAGTCATCCAAAGAGGGGCACCTGGGCTGCGTCCACCTTTGGCTATTGTAGGAAGTTCCACTGTGAACACACATGTGCAAGTATTTGAGTCTTGCTTTGAATTCTTTCGGCTGGGTCCTGGGGTAATTTATGCCTAGCTGTCTGAGGAGCGTCTGAGCTGTTCCGGACAGAGCCTGCAGCATTTTTAACTCCTGCCGGGGAGGCACGAGGCTCCCAGTTTTCCCACACCCTTGCCCACACTTGGTATTTGCCATGCTTCTGATTACAGCTATCCTAGTAGGTGTCAGGAGGTCTCTCCTTGTGGGTTTTGGTAATGCTGTCCGTGTCTCTCCCTTGGTAAGCTTAGGAAGTGTGGCAATCTCCTCCAAAGCCTTGGCCCAGCGCGTGGTCCTGGCTGCACGTGCACCCCTGAGATTGATGACTGGGCAGTGGCCTGGGCCCTGCACCGAGGCCTCGCACGCCACCTGTCAGGGCTGTGGCATGCGTTTCCTCTAAGGTCTCTCTCGCCCGCAGCGCAGGGGTGTCCAGCGGGTCACACTGTCTGAGGAGGTGCCGCTGGGATCCACTGTCCGCCTTGGTACCGGGCCATTTGTGCCAGCAACACCTTTACAGTGCGGGCTGCAGTTGCCCTGGTGTTGAAAACATCAGACAGACGTCTAAGGGAAGAGCTGTGCCTCTCGCAGTGGACTAGTTAGCGAAGCTGAGTCCTTAGATGTGGGCTTTCCTGTCTGGTTCCCTGCGGCCTCCTGGGGTCCTGACTTGTGGCGCCTTATTTGCCAGGCGGTCAGATGCATCACCGAGGGGCTGGCAGATCCACAGGTGAGGACGGGGCACCGCCTCTCCCTCTATCAGCGAGCCGTGCGCCTGCGGGAGTCGCCGAGCGGCAAGAAGTACAAGCATCTCCTCCGCCAGCTGCCGGAAATCGCTCTGGAAGACGTTAAACACGTAAGCCCGCAGTCCCAGGGCACGGCCGGTGTGTGTGCTGGCCACTGAGCTGCGGCCCCATACCCCTGGGGACCTCAGATTTAAGCGCCTTCCCTTGGCTTTTCTGGCTGGAAGCAGCCTGGGAGCCGTTTAGCCTGTGTTTTCTTCTGAACTTGGAAACATGCCGGCCCATTTCTGACAGTGATGCGATCGCTGCTCACTGTCACCCTCGCCCTGATGCGCCTGGGCTGGCAGGGTGGTCACGCTGTCCCGGAGGAGACACAGTACCTGCCCCTTCTGCTCGCGACTTGGTGCCTGGAGAGCCGCTGTGATGACAGCTGCTCTGCAGCGCCCGGACGTGACCTGTCTCGAGCTGTCACGGGTCACATCTGCACCCTTATGGGCGTGGTTGTGAGGGAAAGAAGGATTATCTCGGTACTCAAGGTACTTTCAGGGCTGTGGCCAGACCAGGCTGACAGATGCTCTTCTGTTCCAGGTGACCATCACGGGCAGGCTGTGCCCACAGCACGGGATGGGCAAGTCCACGTTTGTCATGGAGGCTGGGGACACTGCAGCCCCCACCACAGTCCTCTGCTCCGTGGAGGAGCTCGCGCTGGACCACTACAGACGCAGTGGCTTTGACCAAGGTGAGCTGAGGCTGTGTCCATCAGTCAGCCTGTGTCAGGCCCGGTCCCTGTCTTCCCTGTGTCCTCGGCCCTCAGTAGAAGAGTCTCCCTGCTGTGTTTCAGAGGGGTTTGCCCTCTCACCTGGCTGGGGCTCCCTCCTCTACGAGCGTGGGGGAAGCCAGTGCAGCTGCCCTTGCTGTCAGGGCCGATGGTGGGCAGGGGCCACCGCAGAGGCTGGCCTGTGACAACCTGTCACATGCTTAGGGCTGGCCCTTCTGAGAGGTAGAGCAGGCCCAGAGTCCGGCTCAGCTCTGCAGGAGCTCCACGAACCCATCTGGGCCCTTGTTACATGGGAGAGCCGGATACTGCTGGAAAGAGCACTGGTTTAACCCCCTATCAGATGAGCGTCCGTGCCATCCAGGAGGACAGATGTCAGCCAAGACTGGAGCTTTTCTCTTTTTGCTGTGGCTGGCAGCTGCGTGGTCCTCCTGCCGGCCTGTGTTTATGGACGCAGGCCTCCCTCTGTGGGGGACAGAGCGACCTGAGGGGCAGCCATGCCCTTGAAGAAGTGCGGTCTGTGAGAGAAGCCAGCGCTGGCTCCCTGGGAGCCTCGCTTTCCCCACCTCCCACAGCCTTCGGTTTCCTTTTTACTGCTGTGTGTGTGGGTGACCACGGCCTCGCGGCCTGTCGCAGAGAACAGAGCTGTGGAAAGGCCTGTGTGTGCCCATTGGCACGAGTATACAGGGGCGAGAAGCCCTGTGACCTTTTGCTGAACTGAGGACCCAGGAGAAATCTAGTGAACGCCCACTGGCCGGGGACCGTGTGAATGTGGCCGGGTCCTGTCCCTTGCCTCCTCAGGGCACCTTTCCCGGGCCCTGGTGGCAGCGTAGGTGGAGCTGCCCTGCAGCCGCCTCCCCTCTGACTGGCCGCTGTCCCAGAGGGCCCTGAGCTTCGGGATGTGACACAGTCTCCTGAGCCTGACCTGTACTCCCCCAGGGACCTGCAGGTGGCGCGAGCTTAGGCATGTGCTAGGCAGATCAGATGGAGGACGTGTGTGTGTGCAACAGAACCCTCAGGAGCCAGGACGCGGCTGTGGGGAACCCGGAGAAGCACACGCGTGGGCTTGACATGTGCTCGCTCCCCGACCTCAGCACAGGTGTTGGGGAAGGGGACAGATGGAGCGCTCACCCTCTCAGAGTGTGGAGCGGGTGGGAGCAGCACCCCAGCGCCGGCTGGCATCTGCGGGGTCCCCCATGACGAAGGCTGTCTGGTGTCTCTGGCCTCTGTGCGGACTCCTGTTACATAACCGCAGTGGGGAGTTTTATCTTCCCAAAGAAACAGTTAAGTCACTTCTTATGTAGTTTGAAATTCTGGTGTCTGTGGGCCCACCACTGTAGCCTCCTTCCCCTTTTATTTTCCTTGGGTCTTGGTCTCAGAGAATGACCAGGAAGTCCTGGGCTTTGAATCAGGCCTCGGGTTAAGAGGAGACATCAAGCCCTTGTCTTACGATCGGGATGGAATTGGTTCCTATTAAAACCCAGTGCTAAGGAAAATAGCAGTGCATTGTGGGAGAAGATTGAAGAGGAAGTTCCCTGCGTCAGAGTCAGCTCAGAGCAGGCCCAGCCCTCCTGGAGACACCTGCCGGGCACAGCTTTAGAGGACTTTTTGTCGTGGGAGATACTGACCGTACCTTAGCACAGTTGTGCCGGGCCATGGACCCAGCCAGGCCCGCGTCCTCTGCCTTTTCCCCTGTCACCCTTTCTCTCTGGAGCTCCGAGGCAGGCTGGTGTCATCGTGGTGCCTCCATGCCCTCACGGGTTATTCCCAGGGTCACGCTGTCCTCGACTTCCGACAGGATACTGCCAGTGCCTGTGCTGTGGGCAGCTGTGGTCAGTGCACTCTGCTGTCCTCAGGTGGAACCTGGGCACTGTCTCACTTCAGAGTCCTGTGAGTAGTGTTCATCTGAACGCGGGCTGCACAGATAGGGTTTCCCAGAACAGTGTCTTGTTCTGTTGGGTGTTAGGATTTGTTTGTGTCATGCAGAATCTTGATGACTTACAGGGAAGCGCAGTGCCCGTCGGGAGGAAGGGCAGACCCCAGTGAAGACAGACAGTAAACCTGAAATGTTGGAAACAAGAACAGAATGGAAATCCAAGCCCTTAGATGATGTCGTAGACAGGAAAAATGTGCCGTGATGGAGTAGTTGTGGGCTGGGAGCTGGCTGGCCAAAGTGCTTAAATCGTTTGCGTAAAATCTTCATCTGTCAAACGCATGTAATCAAAGTGAGCCAGGTACTCGCTGCCAGGCCTTGTTCTTGAGGGATGTGGTACCAGGGCAACCTTCTGCCCTTTGGGGAGGGATTTCTCAAAAGCCCTGCACCGGGGAGGACTTCAGTGAGAACCCAGGTGCAGAGTGTGGGCGGGGCAGGAGTCTGGGGCAGCCCTGACCTTGCTGTGCCAGCTGACTGGGGTCCACAAGGCAGGACTCTGTGGCGGTCAGGGCCCAGCTTTCTGGCTGGGCAAGGGTCCTGCACAGGGCTTTCAGGTAAAGCTGGAGGACTTGCTCCAGCCTGGGCCCCCAGCGAGGCCTGTTGTTCCCACTCTGTGCTTCTGTGTCATGGAAACAGGCTGTGGGGCACAGGGTAGGAGCTGTGAAGGGACGGGACAGACAGAGCACAGGACGGTTCAGGAGCTCAGGGCAGGAACATAGCCACCAGCCGCTGTTGCCTGAGTCCTCTGGGCACATGTGAGCCGGAAGCCCTGCGAGCCTGGCTCAGGGCAGATGCACCTTTTTACGTGGTCTCAGTTGTCTCCCCTGTGCTCAGGGTGGCCCACAGGTGTTACCTTAGCCAAGGCGGTGATATGGAGAGTGTGTCCATGTGGGCACTTTCCTGGGCCAGGAGTGTAGTGTGCACAGAGACCTGGATTGGATACGGGAGCTGGGGCAATGGGCCAGCTAGGGCTGCCCGTGCCCTTATCCCTCTGGACTCTGCCTCTGGTGTTGGTGCCCCGAGAGTCAGCAGGAGGTGTGTGAGGGGAGGGGGGACAGCTGAGCTAGTTGGGCTCGCAGGCTGAGGTTTGCGTAAGAGCCGGGAGAACGGAAGCACCACGATGACCGTGTTAAGGGGAATGCACGAGTTGGTGAGCTGGGTGGGACAGCGCTGCGCAGCTGAGGAGGCAGGAGCGGCCGCTGCTGGCCGGCTTCGCCTGTCCTTCCCATTCAGGAATCTTTTCTTCAAGGGTAGAACCTCCAGAGCCCAGAGGGAACCCGTTTTTAAGAAGGAATGCCCTTCGGTTGTTCACTAAAGTTGGGGAACCTCTGGTCTGTACTTTGAAGCCAGGCGCGATGGCAAATATCTGTGACTCCTGCGCTCTGAGGCTGAGGGAGAAGGATCCTAAGTCCAGGCATAGCCTGGACAGCTTAGCCAGACTGTGTCAAAATGTAAAAAATAAAACAAGGGGCTGAGATGTAGTTCAGTGTGAAGGCCCTGGACTCAGTCCACGGTACCAAAGATTGTTTTCGTGTTCATCTAGGATTGTTTATCCCCAAATGAGGCTTCCGTGTGCAAACACTATGGTGTTAAGAGCTAGGAAAAGCATGAAGACAGCGTGTGCTTTGGGATTGCAAAGATTTGTTATCTCCTTGCAGCTGAGTACACAGTGTGTCATAGTAGCACTTTGGAAAAGGCAGGTAACTGGCTTTTCCTCTCGTGTGCTTCTGTCCTAGGTATTCACGGGGAGGGCGCCACCTTCAGCACCTTGTGCGGCCTCCTCCTGTGGGACGAGGTCTTCATGGATGGGATCCCGGACGTCTTCAGAAACGCCTACCAGGTCACTCCTCGGAGACCGCTGCCCGTGTGCACTCAGTTGGCAGGCCTGATTCCATCCAAAGAACACCGTTTAGTTTTAGAATCAGATTAGTGAAATTGTGAAACATTCATATGTTAAATTTTAAATGTTGTCCAGTTTACCTTCAACAGTGCATGGTAAATGTTCACCATAGAGTCCCTGTAGCCGGAGCCCATCCTGAGCACCTGCTGTGAGCCAGGGACAAACCCAAGGGCTGTCACGTAGTCACATGTACTGGCTAAGAGTGTGATGTCATGTGACAGCTCCCTTTGCAAACGATCACTCTAAAAATGTAGAATAATAGGTTGCATTTCTGTCACTCTGCATATACAAGATAACCTTTGCATAACTTTCAAGAGAACGCCTCACAGATCGGCCGTTTTCCAAATGCGCAGGTACTGAGTGTCCCCTGCGGGTCTGCGTGCTCCAGGCCTCTGTGACAGCTTGCTCTCTGTGTGACACAGGCATCCCCGCTGGATCTGTGCACGGACAGCTTCTTCACTAACAGGAGGCCAGCACTTGAAGCCAGGTTGCAGCAGATTCACAATGCATCTGCAGAGAGTCTGCGGGCCTGGGTGGCCGCCACATGGCAGGCCCAGGAGGGCCGGGTGTCTTCCCTCATCAGCTGGGATCTCTTCACCTGTCTTCAGCAAGCTCAGGTAACACAGGTCACTTGCACGGCGGAAAGGGTTGAGTGTCTTTGGCAACTCTATTAGAATACACAAGTGTGTGGGGGTGTGCATGCACGTGTGTGTTGATATGTATGATAGCCCATCCCCCAGGCCAGAAGTACTGTGAGGGACAGGAGCATGGTGTCAGCATTTAAAAAGGCCCCGCAGCTCTACCTTTTCTACCCGATTTGATGGCTCCTTTGTGTAGCCTGTGGCTTCTGCAGGGAGGACACCGCTCTCCCTGTGTGCCCACATGTGCCAGCATCTGTGAGTGAGTCCTTGTCAGATTCTGCCTTCTTCACGTTCCCCAGAATGTCCACCCCGGGCAGAATCCCAATAGCTGGTCAAGGAGAGCTGCTGTCCCATCAGCTGCCAGGGGCCGTTAGCAGTGGGCTCTGGAAGCCAGAGAAGCACCGAAATGGCCTCTAGTGCGTGGCTGAGTCTTTTGCTGGATGTGGTGAGAGTCTCTGCCCTGTGGCCCCTATTCCGGGTCCCCGTTCGGCGGTGCTGCTGACGCCCATGCATTTTGTGTTCAGGATCTCGTCTCCTGCCTGGGGGGGCCCATCCTCAGCGGCGTGTGCAGGCGCCTGCTGGCTGACTTTCGACACCGCCGAGGCGGCCTCCCCGACCTGGTGGTGTGGAACTCCCAGAGCCGGCAGGTCAAGGTCAGTGAATGGGATGGAAAGTCCTGTTTGTAATTGTATTGGCAGGGGCTGGGCCGCACTCTAGGGCGTCTTGCATGGCTGTTGGCCCACTGGAATCCCTTGAGAGCCATGGTGCTCTGGGCTGGGGTTCCCAGCGGCCTCCAGGAGGAGGCTGGATTCAGGGGAGCAGGGGAGTGACAGGAGTGAGTCCCCTGCGACTTCACTGTGGAAACCACTGTCCCCTTGTCAGAACCGTCACCAGTGCAGGCTGCGCTCAACAAGGTCCCACAGGCAGGGGCCCGAGGAGAAGTTAGTGATCCCCGAGTGAGCACTCAGCTGTCGCCTTGGGGTGCCTCACTCCGCCCCACCCCCCAGCTTCCGCCCACGCCCTTCAGTGGTCTGCGGTTACTGAGGTGTGAGATGTAGCTCGCACACACACACACACACACACACGCATACACACACACGCTGAATACAAGTCCTTCGGTTGGTTCTGTTTCACCCCCATTGGTGGCTTCTCTTTTCACTTTCAATAGTGTCTTTTGAAGAGTAGAAGTTTTAAATTTTGAGAAAGTTCACTTCTAGAACTTATTTGTTCTTTAATGGATTATGCTTTTGGTATCAGATACCAGGCAACTCAAGTGACGTCTCAAGATAAAAAACAAAGAATGGGGGTTGTAGCTCAGTGCGGAAGCCCTGGGTTTAGTCTCTGGTACTGCAGAAAAGCAAAAACAAAACCCACAAAAACAAAAAACAGCTTGCCTAATCTCAATTCATAAATAATTGTCAAGACATAAAGAGTTCCTAATTTCTCCTACAAGTTGTATAGTTCTAGATTTTACATTTAGTACTCGTGATCCATTTTGAGGTACCCTCTATGTGTAATGTGTGGTATGGATTGAAATGAACTATTTTTGCATGTGGAAATCCAGTCCTGCCATGCTGTGCAAAGACTATGCTTTCTTCACCAAATCGCTTTTGCATGTTTGTCAAAAATCTGTTTGTGTGAATTCTGTTTTTTCCTGTTGATTTGTTTGTGTACGGTCTTACTCTGTCCAGGAGCGTTTCTTTTTTGTGTTTCTTTGGGTTTTCTGCAGAACGCTGTGCTCCTTCTTTCCAGTCTGACGCATTTCTTTTCTTTGGCCTGCCTGCACGGCTGGCACCTCCGCTGTGTACACTGAGTGGCAGGACTGGGAATCCTTGCTTGTTCCTGAGCTGGGAAAAGTGCTTCTTAGTCTCATTATTGAGGATCAGGTTTTGCAGATGATTTGTAGCTACCTCTTGACAGATTAAGGAATTTCTCTTTATTTCCAAGTTTTCTGAGATTTTTCAAGTGCTTTTTAAAAAACCTGCTGCCATTATGTGTTTTTTTTTTTTTTTTTTTTTCTTTAACTTATTGCACTTACGTTGATTGGTTTTGGGATCTTTTAAAAAAAATCTGATTATTCTGAAAAACCAGTGAAAGCAGCATTTACTTATAGAGTTGTGCACAGTGTGTAATCAGCACGTGTGTGAGTCAGAGACAGGAGTGTCAGCAGTCTGAGAAAGTGCTGGGCATGCACCTGGAGCACACAGCAGACACTATTGCCCAAGACTACAGGCAGGGGTTTCCAGGCTGGCCCCCAGCAGGGGCACAGAACCACCCAGGGAAGTCTAACCCAAAGAAACTAGAGATCCCGGTGCCCAGGTCTCAAGTTCTGATTCAGGAAGTTTGAGTGAGTTCCTAAAAATACTTGTCCACAGATGCTGAGGGGGATCTGCTTTGTAGGACGTGAGCCATGAGGCAGAGCACGGCCACTGGTTTGGACTGATCTGAGGGTAGGAAAGCAAGACGGGAGAACCCTGGATCTTGAAATTCCCCGCAGCATGTCTCCAGTGTGGGCATGGCAGGAGCTGCCCACTTTCCCGAGTCATGGACGGCCATGTCGTCTACAGGTTCCATCTGCCTGTCACTTTAGCCAGTCACCAAGACACAGAGGGCCCACTGGGCCCAGAAAGCTGGTGAGGAGCCAAAGAATCTCCCACCTAACCGCTCACCTGGGTGGGAGTCTTGGCTGTTCTTGCATAATACAACTCCAGGCCTAAATACTGAGTCATGATCAGATTTTAATTCTTCAGCTCTGGCTTCCACTTCTCAGTCTGCAGACTGCTTGACTTTTTGCTCCTTCAGAGAGCAGTAGGTTGAAATATCTCTACCCTCCTGCTTTTAGCTAGCTCAGCAGACTTGTGCACATAATCGTAGTCAGGGTAACAAATCCTTTTGTCCTGGCTTTTTGCTTATACCCAGGAACAGAATCCAACGTTACAACCTTGAAAGTCCACTGGAAATTTGCATTTTCTTGATTTGTGTTTTTATTCGCTTCCGATAGAAAGTGAGCTTTCTCTGGCCAGTGAGTATAACTTTGGAAAATAAGCTTGGGTTTGCTATTTCTTTAAAGAGCATACAGTCTTTTACCCTTCTGATGCCTAAAATAAACATGGGTTTATCCTAAAGTCTTTTCAAAGCTTTGCAGCACCTGCTGCTTGGCGCTGCCCAGAAGATGGGACCTGGAGAAGGGCCTGCCTTTTGAATACTGGTTTTCGTTCTCAGTGCTGAGGGACTAACCTTTGGTGTCCTGGAAAGACCACTTTTCCACGTGACTGTTCAATCTTAAACCTGCCTTGCATTTACAGATGGACCTCTCTTGGTTGTCATATATGTTCACCTTTTCATGTAGTGTTTTCCTTTTGGGGAAAAGTGCAAAACTAAAAAAAAAAAATTTAATCAGTATAGGGCAGTTCTATTTCTTCTTGATGGTTTTTATCTATTTCTCCTTGATTGAGCTTTGGGAATTTATATCTTAAGGAATTTTATTGACATAAAGTTGTTCGTTTTTCCTTATTGCCATTTTAATATTATGCTCTCATTCCTGCTATTGGTAATCTACCTTTCGTTTTCCATGGCCAGCCTGGTGGGAGGGCTTTACCCTTGTCTCTCTAACTTGGCATGCAGTTTTCACTGTTACTCAGTTCAGAATACTTTTGGAGGCTAAGAATTTGACTCGGTGGCACAGCATTTGCCTCGCATGTACAAGATCCTGGGTTCAGCTGCCAGCCCTGCCCCCCCAAAAGTGTACAACTTTGTAATTTCCCTTTATTTACAAATACATCGTAAGTCATCTAGTTTCCAAATACCTGTTCAGTTTGGCTGATGTGTAATTTAATTTTGTTGAAATCAGGGGACATACTTTACATGACTTGAATCCTGTTATATTGAGACTTCTATATTCCCGAGTATGATCTGATGAATGTTTGGACTTGAAAAAAGTGTTCAGGTTTTATGGGAAGTAGTATTTTAAAATATCAGTTAGGTCATTTGGTTTATAGTGCTTTATGTCCTTACTGTTACTGACTTGTTTTATGAAGTATTAAGAGAAAGACATTGACATCTTTGACTGTAGACATGGACTTGTTTACTGCTTCTTGCATCTCTATCAATATTTGCTTCATGCATTTTGAAGCTCTGCTATTAAATGCATGAACTTTTAGGACCGCCTTGTCCTTTTAATAGGTCAATCCTTTGTTATAAAAATCCTTTCTTCCTAATGGCCTTGAAGTTAACTTTGATACTACTATATAACCACTCTAGCTTTTTCATCACTGTTAACAAGACACATCTTTTTCTACCTTTTCCTTGTCTAGTATGTCTTTATGAGTTTCTTACAGGCAGCATATAGTTGTGTCTTACTTTTTAATCCAGTTTAACCTTTGCCTTTTTACTGGTGTGCTTGAAACATTTACAGCTAATCTTATCAGTGAAATGCTTGCTTCTGAATCCTGACACTTGTTTCTCTTTTTTGCTCCTCCTATCCTCTTTCTGCTTTTTAACAAGACTACCTTTTTAAATAACCTTTGGCTTCTTAGCTGTAATTCTTAGCTATGTTTAAGAGGTTGCATTAATTGTATAGTGTATGTATGTTTGTTTATTTAGTCTTTTTGAGACATGGTCTCATTATGCAGTTCAGGCTGGCCTTGAGCTAACTTTGTAGCCGAGACTGGTCTTGAACTCGAAGTGATCCTCCTGCCTCAGCCTCTCAAATGCAGAGATTACAGGGGTATGCCATTATGCCTGGCTACAGTGTATTTTACACTTACAGTTTACCTTAAAGTGATACAGCCTTTCACATTTACTATAAATAACTTTTCAGCAGCCTCCTCTACTCTTCCCAGCCTTTTGTGTTTTCATGCATTTTACTTGTACATGTTAATTTTTACTTTCTGCAGGTAATTGAGTCTGTTTGTTCACACCTGCACAATTCTAGGCTTATTTCTTTTTACATACCTAGTTTCCAATCAGTACCATTCTTCTACTAGACTTTCCTTTAACTTTTTTGAATTGCAGGTCTACTTGTCATAATATTTAGGGTTTGTATATACTTTAAGTCTTCAATTGCCTCTGTCCTGAAAGATACTTTCTTTTGGCAAAAATTCAGTTTTGACAGTTCTTTCTTTCATACTCTAAACTGCTGCCCCACTGTTTGCAGTGACAATTGTCTTTTATTCCTCTGGCTTTAAAAATTCTGCTTTTAGGATATCCCCTGTAATGCTGATTGTACAGTTGGAAGTACATTGCTTAGTGTAGGGCTCTTTATACCTGTACCTTCTCTATATATGTGCTTGGGGTTCTGAGTTTAATTTTGGATTTCTAGTTTTCATCATACAGTATCTGGAAAATCTGAGATCAAATTATGTTCTTTCCTTTTTGGGGACTCTCATTATGTCTCCATCAGCTTGCTGAAATACTGTATTTAAAAACTATGTTTTCTCTACTCTGCCTAGGATTGTTTTGCGATCTTCTAGCTCATCAATATGCATGGAACCAAACTAAAACTTACCTTTATGGAGCTGATATGTAATAATTTTCTTGTAATTAGTGCCATGAAATGCATAGAAAGATCCTCCTTAGAGATATGGTGGGCCTGAGTTTATGCACAAGATTTATTTATGAGATAAATTAGGCATGCGAAGGATGGGGAGAGGTCCTGGGCAGGGTAACAGAATGTGAGGCTCCTTGGGTAGGAGAAAAACAACGGTCTGGAAGAGGCCTTTGGAGTAATTTGCAGGTGCTGGATCCCATTCCTGAAGGGCATAAATTTAGATTTAATTATAGAAGAAAGAAAGAAATTGCCGAGTTTTAAGCAAGGAGGCCAATCCAGTGCGTGCTCTGACAGTGTTTCAGTTGCTATACTAAGACTCAGTGTACTCATTCTCTATGAGGAACTGAAAGCTAGTCCAGAGGCTAGAAAACTTTCTCGGGTAATTTCTTGGCTGTGTATATATTTAATATATAAACCTGGGGGTAGAGCAGAATAGACATTTAAATGTCTGTAGTCTGTGAAAATGACTGTGGCTTATTTCACTCTTCAGTTTCAGTAGATACCAATAATCCTGAACATTTATCTTCCAGTTGGTGGAGGTGAAAGGGCCCAGCGATCGTCTTTCCCCTAAGCAGGTGATCTGGCTGGATGAGCTACAGAAGCTGGGGGCCGAAGTAGAAGTCTGCCACGTGACTGCAGTTGGAGCCAAGAGCAAGGGCCTGGGCTGAAAGCAGTGGAGTGGAGTGTCTGCTCATGCTGATAAATGACTTTTAAAAGTATAAGGCAGCATTAAATTGTAGTTTTGATTTTTCATTGTCAGTAATAGACCTGATAGCTTAATGATTCATCACTGCACAGTGTATGTGTATCACAAAGCTTGGTGGTGTCTGCTTGAATACACCAGTTGATTCCACACAGTGTATAATAAACTTTTTTCAAAAAAAAAAAAAACCTTAGTGGCTGTTTTAGGTGTTAGATGTATATGTGCCATTATATTACATTTGGAAAAGGCTAGAAAAAAAGGGAGGCAGAGTAAAATCACGATGATTCACAGCTTTAGGACTTTTATTACAAGTAGCTTAAATAACATTTCTAGTAACTGTTTTGTAAATAAAACTTTTCTGTTTTTTGGTACCGGGGTTCAAACCCAAGCACTTGAGCTGCTGGGCTAAATCCATGGCCATAAAACTTGTTTTGTTCTGTTCTGAGGACAAACTCAGGGCCTGGTGAGCTAGGTCAGCTTTCCACCACGGAGCTACAGACCCGAAGGGGACAGAGATTCTCAAACTTAGGCTTTTCTGCACTGCTTCCCACATGTAGCCATTAAATACTCAGTTAGTGATTTCTCCTAGAAGGGCACAAAGAGTAGCAATTCTAATTTCTTTAGAAAGACCACGCTCTTACGAAGTAGCTTAACACCCTACGACGTCTGTACGTGCTTACTCCTCACAGTTGGGCTGGATCACCAAAGGTAGGAACAGTCATCACGTACTTAGCTGTCCCTTCGCAGCGCTCTCAGGAGCATCCTTTAGTAATGGGCTTCAGGGTGACTTTTGTTTTTGTATCGGTGGTGTAATGAAACCAGGACTGCCCAGCACTGTGGTGGGAAGGTCTGAGGCTGGGAAGGGCAGTGGTCAGAAGATGACTGAGCTGGACGGAGGCCCCGGACTTAGGGTTGCAGGGTCCCAGGGTCCCATGGACTCTGAGACCTGGGGCAGGTGCCGCCCAGTTTTTATATCTATCATGCACCAGTGTGCATGGGTGGCACCAGCTGTCAGGGAGAGATGACGCCTCTGCGATGAGTTTTTACTCACCGTGCTTTGTAGTTTCATACTAATAGTGTACCACCAACAGTTTCTGTGGAAATTTATTTAGCAGTCAAAATTCCCTTCACATGCATTCTGTTGAACAAGACCTCCATCTCCTGCTCATTCTACTTCAACTCAAGTCCTCAGTTTAGGCACAGAGGTTTTAGTTTTCTCTCAAAATCAAGTTTTAACTACTTGAAGTTACTGACAGAGCAAGCAAATTTTGTCGAACAGTTCTGACTTCCTGTTACTACAAATTAATGTCCTTAAATAAAGTTAGGCATTTTTGATTTTAAGACCGACGCCCTGTAAACAGTAAGACGCTGTACAGCTGAAATTCCACACCGTCTGGCCTCTGCCTGCCGGTCCGCGAGCCCGCGGGAGGCGCTGGCCCCTTTGGTAACTGCGCGCAGCCACCCTGACCCTTGACGGCACCGCAGGGCCACTTCTGCTTGCAGAAAAGCCAAGCAGTTTACAGCGAGCCAGACTTCGGGCTGGTATAGTTGTTTTTCATACTATGCACAGTAAATTGTGGCACAATAATCATTATGTAACAACTATTCAACAATAACGGAAGATCCCATATTTTACATTTGATTATCATACAAAAATATGCACATTTTCTACTTTAAGACAGTATTAATAGTACCTAACCTTTTTTAAACTTGTAAATTCACAAAAAATTATAAAAAGGAACTGAAATAGTGTTAAGGGGTGAAGATTACAGAGTAATGCTAAATCCAAAAACTAAATTTAGAAACACTTGCAGTAATAAAAAAGCAGCTTAATGAAAAAAGAATTACACTTTCAGTGGCAGGAAATGCTGTGTTGTTTTAAGGCAACCAGGGTGAGTTTCCAGTCAAGGGCTAGAAAAGCTTTAGTGACAATAATGCTGTTTGTATGAACTGAAAATAGTTCTTATTTTCCAGGCAACGAGTTGGCAAATACATCGTGTTTATCCACTGGATGAGTTTCCTAAGACACTGTGCAAGAAGTTAAATCCAAAGACATTATCAAACAATTTTACAAGGCAGATAATTTAAAAGTAGAAACAGCTACTCAGCACATATAAAGGCAAAATTTACTCTCTTAGAGGAACTTTAGAAAAGGGAACAAGCTAAGTAGACATAAAATTTTTCACTCTTCAGATGGCAGCGTAAGGAATGAACAGTTCCTTGGGTGTGTGTGCACCTGGAGGGGTGGCGTGTCACGTCGGTGCCACTCCTGTGCAGGGAGCTCAGGTGTGCCCTGCCGCACTCTGGAAGGGGCTCGCACACCAGGAGTGCCTCGCGTGCTTCTGCCTCGTGTATTGCTGTGGACGGCAGGGGAGGGCGTGGAGCGGAAACGGCGCTCTTGGGCTAGTACAGCAGCAGTGTCTGAGGTAAGTCCACGTTCCTATTCCTTAGGGTGAAGGGCTCTAAGAGAAGAGGGGCGTCTGTGCAGGGTTCCAGCACCCGGAAGGGGAAGGGCCAGCAGCGGTCCCTCAGACTGGGAGTGCCGACAGGAACCTGGAGCCTCTCGGGTCAGCATCCCGCGGGCTGCTACATCCTCGGGGATGCTCACAGTGACAGAAATGTGGCTTTGGAGGCTTCTGGCTATTAGTATGAATGAAAAACCTGAATCCAATCTACTGAGTGGAATTTTAAAAAGTGAAATTGCACTTTTCTATCGGTATTTAAATGTCGAAGGCACTTCTAAGCTTAATTCTGCCATCTACACCAAAGCTTTTAAAGTTCCAGTGCATAGCATTTCAGAGCGAGTCCTACGAGTTAAAAGCAGACTCATGACTTGAAACTGCAGTGCTCTGCGGTCTCACACAAGGTAACCTGACATGCTCGTCCTGCTGTCTCCTTCTGCCTACTAATCTCATCAAGTACTCGGTAACTTTGGTAGGTGGTGGGAAGGAAGACGTGTAGGACAAGAAGGGGAGAAAACCTGGTTAGTTTGATCACAGTGACAAGAACAGGGCGAATGTTTGTACATCACCTAGAACGAGCCAGACCTGGAAGGACAGGAAGAGGACATATACTTTTCTTAAAATACCTGTCAAGGCAGCATGATTCAACATTTTTAAATATTAGTGCAAATTTCAACTATTACTTTTTATATAAAGTTAAGAGTTTTAAAATGTCTAGGTTAGCGATTTCAATTCAGAGGGAGAAATTTTTAACTTGCCTTCAAATGTTCAGGAAATACCACCTTTCAGTCTTCATTTGCTAGCGTCTCAGTAGATAACCATATTTTGGCCCCACTTAAAAATTTGCTTAATGGTGTCCCTAAAATGCTTCGTCTGCACAGATTACCAACAGGAGAAAACGGGAACGAAGAGGAGAGGAACTCGGGGGTCCCCGCGGAGGCGGGCAGGCCCCGGGCCCTGAAGAACATCCTGCCCTGGTCCAGGTCGGTGTCGCAGGCCTGCAGGGGGCTGCTGTGCTGCTGCCGCAGCATGCTGCTGAGCACGTCCACCTCGTCCACCAGCAGGGAGAGCTTGTGGAAGGCAGTGATGGGGCCCCCGAGGTGGATCTGGGCCTCGGGGACCCAGCGGAAGTAGCACAGTTTCCACAGTTTTATGTGTGCTCCCGAGAGCTGCGGCAGAATCACACCATGGAGGTCGGCTGGTTTGGAAAACCACTCTCTCAAGTACTGCTCCATATCACTGTTCTGGCCGTCAGTGTGCTGGAGTGGGTCTGGCTTCCGCTTCAGCACTAGTGAGTTTCTCCTGGGAAGCAGCTCCTGGTCGCTGAGGATCCCGTTCTTTAAGGAGGACGGCATTCCTCTCAGCGTGGAACTGTAGCTCTTCTGCACAGAAGACAGACCCCAGCGTTAGCCTTCTGGACTGGCGATTTTGACAGAAGACTACAAGTACCATGGCAAATATAAGTAACAGTTACAGAAAACGAAATGTCAGCCTCACAGAGCACTGCTGTTCCTTCCCCTGTGGTGCTCATTCTAATCCTCCCGGGAGCCCCCGCTTTTTCAGGGCTGATCCTCCTGAGGCCCTTGCCATGCCTGACGCGAGTATATCTTATCAGTCAGCTCAAATGGGTATTTATAAGACTTTCGGATTAGGGGGGAAAAACCTAAACCTGGCTGATTCTGATGGGCAAACTAGACAGGTTTTAGGGAACAGGACTCCAGGCCCACAGCCTTGATCTGCCAGCGCAGATCTGAATAGGCTTCACGCACCAAGAAGGAAGTCACAAAGCAGTTGCATAGTTCAAAAAGGAACAATCCTTCAAAATACGGGATTAGCAGTGCTGCTCTGGGCATGGCTTTATTTTTAATACTCTGGGTTCTTATGTGTTTGTGTGTGAGCCAACATAAGGTTTGCCAGTGCGTCGTTGTGATTTACCTTGGTCCGCTTAAAAGCCTTCACAGAGCCGTTCTGTACACAGGGCATGCTCTTTCCAATGTAGAAGGGGTTGTGAAAGAGGGTGCGGTCCTTGGCTGTGAACTGAAGAGACCAGTCCCAAACTGAGGGGAACTTTAAGCCCTTTTCGTCACCCAACTGGATATTTTTGCTTATAGCAAATTCCTGCAAAACAAAATATTTGAACATGTATGAAAAGATGAGCAGCTAGACACCTTCTTTCTTTTCATCAGCTTTCATCACCAAGAAAGTAAAAGGTTCTGGGCCAGGGCACTCAACACCCACTGGAGCAGTGCTGTCCCCTCCTGGAGCCAGGAATGTGCCAATGCTCAAGCACAGAGGCGTGCTGGATGCCCTGCAAGGGGGCACTCCAGGGGCTCCGGCAAGGTCTCTGCCTTGGGACCAAGGAGGCCGTGTCCTCTGGGCGGTGAAGGTGTCAGCAGGGGAAAGCTGTGCTAATGTGATGCTGTCGACGGTCGTAGCATGTGCTGAAGCCCCAGCTCGGGGTTCCCACCACGGGAGATCAAGGCAACAACCCGTGGTCTCACTGCGAGGATGACACAGTGCTCCCCAAGCAGCACTCTGGGACCACGTCATCTTTGGTCATGTGCAGAGAGGATTCACCTCTTAGCAGAGAGACAGAAACCAGTCATACCAAGTTTATACAGAGTAGTTCCCTGAAGGAAATGTCCTCAGGTAGCCTCTGAATGGTACCAAATGATTTGTCCTTATTTTCTATTTTCTTTTAGTGTTTTCCAAATTTTCTACAAAAAATCAAGAATTCCTTTAAAAGTAGAGAAAAAAGGCAAAGAATAAATGTTAACAGGAAAAAAAGTAGAGTAGTCAGAAGGTCCTGGGTGCATCCCAGCCAGAGATGTGCCTGCCACAGCAACAGCCTGGAACCATCACGATGCAGCGGGGAAGCTGTGCAACAGGAGAGGCTGCTCAGAAAGCTTCACAAACTTCCCACGTTACGTAGGGAAAACTTCACTGAACACCAAGTTACCTGTTTTCTTGATTATCTGAGACTTCATCACACATGGATGGACAAAAATAAATGATCTTTAAAGGACTAAAAGCTAAAATCTAGTAAAACATAAACCTCAACCTATTTAACGTTCCTTAGCAAAGTGTATAAAAACCTCACCTTTTTAGAAATGTAAAATTAAAAACATTTATCTGCAAGGAAAATCAAATTTTCCAGCAACAGTCACACTAACCACCTCTGACCACTGACCTCTAAAGTAGCCTCCGAATGGAAAGACAGAGGCACTGCCTGTGTGCGCAGCACGTATGTGAGGGCCGCAGGCAGGCAGCCCACGCAGAGGGCAGGAGGTGGGATTCGTGGCAGTGTCATCAGACAACTTCTAAAGTGGACAAGCATGGCTCCAGGACAGGGACATGAAATAGGAAGCAGATGTAGTACTTTTAAATACTGTTATCTTTTACTCCTGAACAGCAATCTATTTGGCAATGTCTCTCAGCACATCTGGAGCCCAGCAAATGAGCAGGGTCTCTTGAAGCCATAAAGCTCTCTGCTTGGGTGTCTACCCAGTGCACTGCCACGTCCCTGGGACCCCAGAGCCAACGTCCTCCCACTGGATGCTTTGGCTGGACGAGGCTGTCTGCCTAGCCCTCTCCTGCAGTTCCGTGCGTCCGTGTGTACACGGGGAAGCACATGGGGCAGCGCAGGAAGAGGCTGGAGCGAGGGTGAGGGGGACAGACAGCGCAGGGAAGAGAGCTCACAGCAAAGAAGGGCACAAGGACGGCAGTGCAAGACTGAAAATGAGTAACGGGAAACCTTTTAGGAACAAACAAATCTTTCAGGTCCCCAGAGTCTGGGTCTGTCATTGGTCTCTAGCAGTTGGGGAACGATGAGCCCATCAGGGAAGCACAGAATGTTTCGTTCGGAATTCCCGTGCTATTCGGCCTAAAACTGCCTGACAGGGCTGTTTCTCGTAGCCTTGGCCTCCCCCAGCACTCCCCGGCCTTCTGGGCTCCAGAGCTGGCTCCCGTGCTCCCTTCTGCCCTCCAGTTTCTGCTCTACACTCAAGGCCCAGGCCGGGTGCTTCTCTCTGGGACAGTTTTCCCTACTGTGATAGCCTGAGTAGTGCACTTTATGTCTCCTGCCTACAGTCCAGAATAATTCGTATTTGGGACACTTTGTAGAATATCACGGTTCACAAAAATTCCATCTTGCCCAATGAGACCAAAAGGCTGACTTAGAACGATGGCCCCGTGCTACATCCATGGAACCCAGGCTCCTGGGCCGACTCTGGAGGGGCAGCAGCGCACGGCGGGGCCACCCAGGCCCCTCGCACGGAGGCTGAAGACCATAGCACGCCTGTGCCCAGGGCTGCACGAGCTGACTTCTGATGTCCACACCCAGGCCACAGCTCATACCCTGCATGGACAGGATGGAGCAAGGGGCACCACCAGAGAGCTGCAGCCCCGCACTGTGTCACTTCCACCTGCCCACTCACTTCCTGTTCTCAGGGCCTGCGGTAGGCGAGAGGCCCTGAGTTCAGTGCCTGGGGTCCAAAACAATAAACAAACAAATAAACAAACTTCCTGTTCTGTGACTCTTGAAGAAAAAGTCTTGTTCGAATTCTGAGGCAGGAAACAAATGTCCTCAAACAGGGTCATTTTTATTTTTATTTTTTATTTTTTGTCTTTTTTGAGACAGGGTCTCTCTATGCAGTTCAGGCTGGCCTTGAGCTCACTTTGTACCCAGGCTGGTCTCGAACTCGCAACGATCCTCCTGCCTCAGCCTCCTGAGTGTTGGGATTACAGGCGTGAGCCACCATGCTGGGCTTAGGGTCATTTTTATTAAACAGGCAGCCACATGTGAAAACATACACATACGAGCATGGCGCTTAAGGTGGCTAAAATACTTTATACCCTTAAACCTATTATGACTAATTTACAGAAACATGTAACATGTTCACTCATAGAATTGAAAGACGTTTCTGTCTTTCAAACAGATATAAAGTACTCTTGAAATAGTACGAAAATCTGAATTTATGTATTGTAATGCGTGGATGTACTTCCGTTGCTTAAATAAGGCAGCCCTAGCCGTCCATCACCCTCCATCCCGTCATCCTCCATCCTGTCACCCAGCGTCCTGTCACCCGCCATCCTGCCACCCACCGTCCCATCACCCTCCGTCCCGTCCCCGTCACCCAGCATCCGTCACTCTCCGTCCCATCCCCCTCCCCCTCCGTCTTGCAACCCGCAGTCCCGTCACCCGCTGTCCCACCACCCTGTCCCGTCACCTGCTGTCCCGTTGCCCACTGTCCTGTCACTCAGCATCTGGTGACTCACCGTGCTTTGCTTCACCCGCTGGTGAGGAGAGTTGAACAGGAAGGTGCCAAACAGTGAGATCCGGGTACTGTCATACAGTACTGCTAAGTAGGTCTCGGAGAACTCAAAGGCGGCCGGGTACTGTTCTAACAGCTGCCACGTGGCATCCAAGAAGAGCAAAAATAAGGGAGACTGGCAAACAGAGAGACAGTGCGATTGCTGAGCGAGCGCTGAACCAACATAACACATTACTTGCACAGCCACAGTGCAGCAGGCTGCCACTGTTTGAATGCAGAAGAGCAAACTCTGTCTGTTTTTTGGAACAAAAAACAACTCATTTCTGTGATTAACTTCTGGTTGACCCATAGGCTCAGTACCCAGAAAATGTTTTCAAGTTTCAGGAAACAGACCGTGGTCAGCCTCCAGGCCACCAGTATACCCTCCAGCAGTGCAGACAGCCTTTCGGTGAGCTACCACAAGGCAAAGGGTGGCCAGAAACCCTTCTGTGAAAACTAACCTGGCTGCGGGGGCTGGGGATTTAGCTCAGCAGCATAAGCGCCTGCCTTGCAAGCAGGCAGTTGTGAGTTCGATCCCTGGTACCGATAAAAATGAAAAAGACAAAAAACAAACAAACAAACAAACAAACAAAAAACCTAACCTGGCTGCCTGGCCTGCAGGACGCAGTAGAGTCTTCCGTGGCTGAAAAATGGATTCCAAACTGAAAGCAGCACACGGCTACTGTGAAAATAGACCTCCTGAAAGCCCTGTTCTGAACCTATGCGCCCCAGTCTAAGGAAATGCAATAGTCTAAAAGGGTTACTTCAAAACATCTAAGGTGCTTTGCATAAAAATCAATGCAGAATTTTTCAGGGAGCTTCTACCTCAGGCAAACTGAATAGGTAACTTTTTAAAACTTTCACCTATATAGTTAGGATAATCTTTGTAAGTACAATTTTGATTCTAATACAATCGGTCTTAGATTAAGGAAGCTAACATGTAACAAATGCAATATTTTTAAGAAGTCTCATTTCTTTACATAATGACATAAAGTTAGTCTTATGTACACTTGAAGAGGCTAGTAAGGCAGTAAGACTTGTTACCTCTTTCTCCGATCTCTTTAAATGGTTGCACCTGTCTAGGAACTGATATCCTGCCATGACCCACTCCTTCTGTATCAGACTCTGAAATCCAGTGATTGTCCTGAAATAGGCATCCAGCATCACTTGAACAAGAGAAGCTACAAGACAGCTCAAGTCTCTTCCCTCCTCCTCTGTCAAGAAATGGAAAGAAAATTATGAAAAAGAAACATCTTGAAGGGCAAATGAGATAAAACAGGCAATTCAGTACCCTGCACCTCGACCACCTTCCATACAGCCCCTGAAAAGAAGCTTTACCGGACCCACCACGTTAAACATATTAGAGACTTTTTAGCACACTGAATTACTGTTTACTAGGCATGGCCTTCTACCTGGACATTTTCCAAACAGCAGCAGCTCATCACTCCCATTCTGACAGGCTGCCTCCTACCTCTCTTTGTCAAGGACCCTAAGTATAATACAGTCTCCCTACTGAGGGCTCCACGCCAGTGGCTCCAAGGGGATGCGAAGAAGGGGATTCTCTCCATTATTATCTGAGCAGGTGCAATGCTTTCTTTCCTGTGTCTTACAGCTCTTGTGCTTTTCAAGGAGGCCAGAATTACTTTGATAATAAAGCCAGAGAAAGAATGAGAAAACTCAACTGACACCTTTTATATGATTACAGATGTACGACTCATTAACAATATATCATGTTAATAAAACAAATTACTCCAGAAATCCAAGAAGGTATCCCACAAGTGCAAGATTTGTCATGACAAAGTAACTTTACTGTATTAATAAAGTATAGGGCAACAACCACCTGACCATCTCATCAAAAACCAAAATGGCACCTGACCTCTACATTCACTCCTCATAAGAACTCTCAGCAAACCAGGAACAGAAGAGAACACCTTCAGCCTGGTCAGAGTATCTACAAACTCTATTAACATCATTGTCACTGGCGAAAGGCTGAATGGAGCTGAGTCTGGTGAGACTGTGGGAATTTCACTGCAGTTAACATCAGTACACAGTAACCCTGAGGTGAAATTAGGAAAAGTGTAATCACAGTTAGAACTTGAGATTTAAGAAATGCAAGATTTGTAGAATGAAAACTTCAAGACACTGCTGACAAAGTGAAATAAGACCTAAATACATGGAGGCACAATGACTTCATGATTTATGGGGTTTAACACATTTCCAGCAATATCCATGTAGACTTTTTTTTTTGGCTAAGCCTAAAAATTATGCAGAAACACGAAAGACCCATAATAGCCAAAACAATCTGAAAAACAAGGTGGAATAGTTACGTGTCTCAATCCCAAAATTTACTACGGAGCGCCAGTGCTCAAGATAATGTGGTACTGGTTTACAAACAGGCATAGGGTCAATGAAATAAAGAACAAAAAACCCCCTGACCACTTACCATCTAGATTTTTGACAAGAATTACTTATTATTTATTTGCAGTACCGGAAGCTGAAACCAGGGCGTCTGCACTGAGCTACACACCCAGCCCTCCTCCCTCCGAGTCTCACTAAATCACTGAAATTGCCCGGGGTGTGCTTGGCCTTGTGATCCTTTTGCCTTAGCCTCTTGGAATGCTGGGATTCCAGGGAGGGCCACTCTGCTTCCAAGCAATTTATCACAGAAAGGACATTCTTTTTAAGAAATGGTGCTGGAACAATTTAATATCTACATGTAAAAGAAACAAAATTAGACTATTACCTTCTACCACGCAAAAAATTAATTGAACATGGGTCATAGAGAACTCAGTGTTAAAAACTAATACTATAAAAGTTATATATAACAAAAAGAAAGTCTCTATGATCTTTAGTCAGGCAAACACTTCTTAGATATAGTCTTAAAAACATAAGCCATTATAGAAACAGCAGTTAAACATGATGCATGAAAATTTAAAACATAGTGCCCCCAAAGGCATTAAGACAATGGAAAAAGCTGTGCATGGTGATACCCACCTGCAACTCCAGCTACTGAGGCAGGAGGACCTCAAGTTTTAGGCCAGCCTGGCAAATCAGCAAGACCCAGACTCAAAAAATAAAGAGGGTGAGGACACAGTTCAGTGAGTGACAAACCCTATGTTGCCTCCTCCCATTATCCCACACACACAAGGTGTTCAAGAATAAACAAAAGCCACTAACAAGTAGAAAAATAGGCGAATCACATGAAGATACAAAAATCTATTCCCATTAAAATACAGAATTCTCGGAATTTAATAAAGTGAAACGCATTAGGGGAATGTAAATGACAATCAGAAAAGGCATCTCTAGACAGACAACAGAGCCAGAGAGGGTGTGGTGCAGCTGGAATCTTCCCTCATTTCCGGAGGGAAGGAAATGCGGTCCACGGCGTCACAGCACACTGCGGCAGGCTCGCGCTTGTCCAGGTGAGAGACATTATACAGGCCCGGCACCTTCATTCATTTATTTGTAATACGAGTAATAAGGGAATAGATATTAACATTTCTTTCAGGTTTACATCTCAAAATTTTGTATGACTTTTTAAATATTTTGTTATTTAACACTGTGTCCGTCAGTTTGGCAGTTTCTTAAAAAACTGGACATAAATATACCTTATAATTCGGCAATTCTGTTTTTATAGTCTGCCCAAAAGAAACAACTGATCTCCTCCAAAAGATTCTATGAGTGTTCACAGCAGCAGACTTCATAACAGCCAAAAGGTAGAACAACTCAAATGTTCATCACAGAGTCAAGGAGCAGATACAGTTATAAAGGACAGAATTTAGGAGTGAAGAGGAACAAATACTGCTATGTGCTACATGAGTGAACTTCAAAATCCTGCACAACGAAGCCGTAGACAAAACACCACATATTGTGTGACTCCACCCTCTGAAATATCCAGAAAAGGCAGATCTGCAGGGGCAGAAAGTAGGTAAGTGACTGCCTAGAGCTGGGACAGGGAAGTCTTTTGAGGAAGACTTATCCATTTACTATGGAATTCAAAGGGGGTAAATTTTATGGTATATAAATTACCAATAAACTTTAAAAAAAAACCCTTCAGTGAAACAGGCTCATTTCTGAGAGGCCTTTTAAATTACCACTGCATGGGGAAACTGAGACTGAGTAGGACTCTCAGGAAGGTGACAAAGGCGTTGGTTGGGAGGTTAAAAACACCAGAGTGCCACACTCTACACACATTTGCAAATTAAATACACACTATGTGTCAATTAGAGGTTACTTTATCTCATGCATTACAGCGGTACCTTGATTCACAAATTTTTTACAAACAATCTGGTTCATGAATAGAAGTGTTTGGCAAAATTTTGTTTTTGTTTGCAACTCTGCATTGGTGGTGCATGCCACACAGCCATTTTTCTCACACAAACACAAACATGACCCTCTTTTCCAAAATCGCACCAAGTAAGTTCACGAACACATTTCTTTTTTTCCTAAGGGTTTAAGTATCTTTGTGTTGGTAAAGTCGGTCAGGTTTGACGGTGGGTGAAAACACTTCCACAACCGGAAGCAGCGTCCCGCTCACTACGCTGTACGATGCAATGGTCCTGGTCTGCAGTCCGTGACATTTTATCTTAAACCCAAAATTCTACTAGCTGGAAAATTACTTAATACATAATTATACTTGCTTAACTGAAAGATTTTTATTCTGGAGTTTATTTCTAGAAATATTAGACAAAAATCACATTATTGGCTATTTGATCTATTCTTGATATCTCTTTTCCTCTCGTTACAGTCTCCTGTGAGTCAGAAGCCATTTGCACTAAAACAAATTTGAATGAGTCAGAAAGCTAGCAAGATTAACACTGGGCATTAAACCAAGATATAATATGACCTATCCCACAACAGCAAGGATTTTTTTTTTTTTTTTTTGTCTTTTTCCTTTTTATCGTTACTGGGGATCGAACTCACGACTGCCTGCTTGCAAGGCAGGCGCTTATGCCGCTGAGCTAAACCTCTAGCCCCAACAGCAAGGATTTAATGAGTGGTGGAAAATCAGACTCCTTTCTACTCCACCTGCAATGTCCCACCATCGTTCATGGATGTACCAAGTTAGCAGTGCACCCGACCACAGGGGAGTACAAAGACACAGCCAAACTGACGTGGCAGTGGACGGCCAGTAGTCAGAGTGTTTTGAGGGATGATTTTAATTACCTTGTAGGACTACAGATAGACGTTTGCTTTCTAGCATGTACACAACTTCTGCTGAATGTTTAAGGAATATCCTAAAAAGAGTAAGGGAAAAAAGCTGTTAAAAAATAAAATTTCTACTACAAATACATTTTAAAAGTACTTGCAATCAAGCAAAACTTTCACTATACACATTTGCATTTTCAACCCAGGAATATCCTTGGTAATTATATGATTTTTCAGTAAGGTAAGTTTTGTGATTTTTGTATCAGCAGCTAGATTCATCAACCCTTTATAAAAAGGAAGGGACTGACTTACACAACACCTGTAAACTGGTGACCTTACAGACATGGAGCAGAGTGTAGCCGCCAGTGGGTAAGGATGGGTGAAGAGTGAGCAGACAGAAAGCCCCATGGACCCCCAGCAGTTCTGCACCTAGACAGCGGCGCGGCTTCCGGAAGGCTGTGCCTGGACAGCACTGGGTGGAACCGCAATGTGCTCACACCGCACGCATACCGCATGCATATGAACTCATGAAATGGGCAGACTTTACCAGTGTCCACTTTCTGGTTCCGATGCTCCCTAAGTTGCTGCCACTGAAGGAGGCTGGGTGAAAAGTACCTTTTTTTACATTGTGTGAGTCTTGAATTATTTCAAAATGTTAAAGAACAAAGGGGAAGTTGACAAACCTGACATACTCTAACCACCGAGTATTTTCTAGTGAAGATAACCATTTCTCTTCTGTTTCTTCAAAAGGCTCTGTAATATAAATGGAAATTATATAGGTGCATGTATCACACAAACACATTTTTAATTACTAAGCTTAAATTAGCATGATCCGTATCAGTTAAAAAATACAGCACAGCTTCTAATATTTAAAAGTTGGCTTTAAGGAAGAATCATGCACTTCCACGTAGTAACAGAGTAAACAGTTAAGAAGACATGTGATTCCACAGCAAAGCTAAACAAAGCATCCCCCGTGCTCCTATCTGCTCTCTGGCTCTTTAAGAGAAACTGCAGGAAGCCTCACCAACACTGACTCTGGAGAGCTTATGCTTCCCAGTCTTCCTGGCTGGCCCTTGATTGTAGCCCTCCCAACCAGCACGAAGGGCCGCCCAGAGCTGCCCACACAAGCCCTGTCCTCCCCTGCTGCCCAGGCCGGCTCTCTGCACACATGGCCCTGCGGGCTACACGCCTAGGAATGAGCGCACAGACCACTTTCCAGGCACTGTGTTTTTCTTAACACCTTGCTTCTTCCCTTTGAGCTCTCCATCTAGATAAGCACCCACTGTTCAAGACCTGCTGCAAGACCGCTCTCCTGCCGGGTGATGCAGGAGCTTCCCCTTTATCCCAAGATGTAAGATGTTTTCATGTGGCACTTCACAGCCAACTAAGGGTTTGTTCAAATACACAGATCAAAACTCTGAGATCACAGATACAATACAGTTCTGCTTCAGACCCACACTGCCACCAATCTCAAAACTATACCCTATGAATTAAAAATCCTAAGTTCTCTGACAGGCAAGACTATTAGATACTACTATATCTTTCATAATTTGGAGATTTTAACAGATTCATTTCTTTCTCCTCCAAAACAAAAAGCAACTGAAACTTCATTTGCTAGAGGGTCTGACCTTCTCATAAAAGCTGAACAAATATTCCAATGAGTTTCTCCTTAAATATACCAATTTCAGTATTGTTAAGGAATATCACTTCTCCTCATGGGTTTCATACAACTCTTTACCCCCCTTTCAAAAAATATGTGTAAAAGAAAAATGAAATTACCATTAACACACAGTTGCTTAAGCTTTACAAATGCCGCCTGTATTTCTTGAATATTAGGCAAAGTCTTATCCAAATCCAACTTGTAAACATCACTTCTCTGTGGATGACTTTTAGTTATTGCATTACAAATCCTAATAGAAACAAAATCCTTCAGTCACGATTAATTCATTTCTTTAACAAACAATCAGCACCCATGGCAGGCTAAGGCACTATTCTAAGAGCCTGGGACAGAGACAAAGAAAAGCTAGGTTTCCACCTTCACGGCAGTGACATTCTGGGAGGGTGTACAGCAGAGGAGGAGAACACGGAGGGCCGTGGGGGAGGAGACTGCAGCTCAGAGCAGGGTCCCCGCTGAGGACAGCACTGACACGGACACACAAACGATGGGAGTGCACAAGGACCTGAGACAGAGAGGCAGCTGTCCAAGGTGAGACATCTCTTAGTTACCTCTGGTCGATTTTCCTCTGCTGCAGCACGTCCTTGATGAGGGCCATTCGCACAAGAGCACTGCCGTTTGAGTGGCTCCAGCACCAGAGCTAGGGGAGAGGCAGCATCTTTACTTACCCGGGCGGAACCCACGCACTTCCGCATCAGTGAGCACATCCAACAGCAACACTTACTGGCATCCTTCTTCCAACAAAGGAGTGGGAAAAGATCTTCAGGTCTTGGTCTGCTAAGGAACTTGGCACTACAAAGTATTCTGGAAGGCTGGAGGGGGAAGAGACACACTTAAGAGGTCTTTGCTCAAGGGAGGCCTAGTATACCCCACAGACGCCATCTACACTTATACCCACTCACCTCCTCTCGACACGCACCTCACTTGGCGGCCACACTGGCACTAGTGAAGGGCACTAGTGATCTGTCTACAACAGGCGTGATACGATTGTTTCTCACAAAATTAGAATTTATACCATGGGGAAAAAGTTTCAAATTTAAAATATTTTCCAGAATGATTTTTAAGCAAACACAGCCAGCCTTAGAAAACACACCCACCTTCGTTTTCCTCACAGGCTGTGGCACAGATAAAGCGGGCAAGTAAAACAGGAACGAACCCCACACATCCACAAGAAGCTCCCGCTCCCGCTCGTCTCCCTCTTCCGCCCTCCCATCCCTGCAAGGTTCCGTCGGGCTGCGGGACACTGATCCGCTCAGTGAACCCCAACACACCTCCTTTTCTCTCTCCTCCACTCAGCCTGGCGGTGACGAGGGCAGGCGGGGCTGGGCACAGTCACCCCTTCTTGGCACATATGTGCCTCCCGGCGCACTGGCCTGCATGTCACCCTCCAAGGTGCACACTCCAGACACCACCCCAGACCTGGGCCCTCCCAAGGTCCTAATACACAATCAGTCGGTGGTAACAGGCAGCCTGTCCTTTCTTCTCCTCACAACACTGATTATCTACGTAAATGACTGAGGACTTCAATGACCTTAAAGCATTCTAAAAACTTCAACAGAACTAAATGATATTAGACAAATGCAAAAAAATTCCAGGGCACTTTTGAACAACTTTAGGGAACCTGCTCACTATTTTGAGAACTGGTAACATAAGAGCAAATGTAAAGATTTATACTGCCTTCCTTACATGAGCTACACTTCAGGCTAATAAAGGAAAACTTTGATAGAAAAAAATGACACAACAAAGCTATTAGCAATCCTTAATAAAATAACTCATCTAGGCAACTATGCTCACTCCCGGTGAAAACTACTTTTGGCTGCTAAAACCATGACATAACAAGGGAAGTTTGTACTTAGTGGATCAGAGTGACAGACCCAAGCCTATTGATCAGTCAGCACTGAAATAAGCATGAGATAGCGAGACACACAGAGACACACAGAGAGACAAAATAAGCCAGCATGTAAGGGAGAGGTGACACTGAGGGGAAAGAGACATATCCAGTGAGCCAGTTGGAGTCTAGATGCCACATACCCAGAGGCGCAGGATCACCACCTAATGAAACATTCTTGCCAAAAACATCGAACCCGGGTTCAATCATGCCCCTAGAATTAACTAATTTTACAGCAAATATAGGAGACAGAGGAGCATGTTACAAGACACTGCAGAGAAAAATACAGCAATACCTAGGATGCGGAAAATTCTACAGAAAGAATGACCTGGTTTTGTTAGCAAATAATTGTAAGTATATATTTTTGAAGGTAGAAAGAAAGCCTAAGCAGACACAAGCAACTTCAACATAAAACCGTCCAAGGATCTTGATCTGAACACTTCACCTTTACGTGAATTATAAAAAAAGATGTAAAAGAACACTGACTTCTTTCAATGGATATTGATATTGTAATTGTATTTTTAAAAACCCCTATCTTTAAAACCTCCATTAAAGCATCTTCATAAATATTTTGTTAGTCCTAACTTGACAGCAGCAGCAGCCAAGTTTGATTATTCTTCAGAGAGCAATCACTTCTTGATATAAATAACATTATTAAAACTGGACTCACCAAGTGGATATCATGTAACCCTCATTAATAGAACAAACTCTCCACCCGGAAGCACCGGTCCTCTTGATTTCTCTGTCCCAATCTGAGTAAGTTTCAAACAGTGGTGTTTTCTGGCTGGGGGTGCCGCCGCCTGCTCCCATCCCTCCTCGCCCTCCGCCTTCCGGGGACACTCCGTTAATTCTGCTGGCTGGAGAGGAACACAGAATGCAGTTAACCTTAGGGCAGAGTCACACTTCAGCTCTGCTCTGTCCGTGCCTTCAGTCACACTCAGGCTCCCATGTGGCCCCTCCCAGCCTCATCCTGCAAGTCTCTCCACTTTACCCTTTGGATTTAAAAATAACTCACCTAGTCTTGTCTTTAACTAGCGCTCTTCCCGCTCCTTGAAAACACCTTTCCTTTCCCTGTCCTTCTGCACCTCACCTACCTTCAAACGTAAATAAGCAAGTCAACCTGATTTTGAAAAGTGCATTTAATCACATTGGTCTATTCTAGCAACTAGGCCACACATTTTTCTTCCTTTCTTTTCTGATCACCTTTGCATATAGTGAAGGAAGCCTGGACATGTTTTCTCTTCATCTTTCAATCATCCTCATTCTTACTGTTCTACGGAAACTATTTCTGACCCTGCCAAATTGCAGGGCAAATCCAAGTCATTTATTTACCTTCTCCACATATTCTCCCTGGAAAAATGAATGCATCCAACAATCACCTCTGTTCTCAAGCCCTCCAAATATTTCACGCTTCCAATATCAGCTTCCCATCTGTTCATTAGAAAAGTCTTGGTTTCCTTGGGAGAGCTCACAACACTGCCTGTGCTCTTCGTGAGTGCTGGCCCTGTACGGAGATTCCGGCACAGCGGGCCCAGACCAGACCAGAGTTCCTTAGCAAGCAGCCTTCCCTGGAACGGAGAACTGGTATCCTACTCTGCAGCATAGCTGTAGCCTGGGAGACCCTGCAAAGTGGCCAGAGAGAAAGTAGCTCTCCCCCAAGTCAGCCAGGTCTGTCCCGAGGTGACACATGGCACAGCTCTCCCAAGCGCACTGTCAGATGGCCTGGGCTGTGACCGAGGCAGCTTCCATGCCAACATCCCTGAGCGGATGTTCTGGGGGCCTCCAACCTGCCAGTCCCTCAGCATTAGTCACCGCCCTGAGAAGCACCCTAATGCTCTCCCCAGTCTTTCAATCATGCTCACTTTCCAACAGTCAAGCAAACCTAAATGGCTGTTCTTGACCTTCACATAACTATTTACCATTATTCTCAATTCTAATTCTTCTTTGTAGCCATGCAAAACCCTTAGTTGTCCCATTCACATGTCCATTCCACAAATCCTTTATTAATTCCTGGAGTAAAACTGGTCTTTTCTGAGAATATATGATGTGCTAAAGTCTGAGAGCAGAAAGTAAAATTTGCATCTACTTTGAAAGCACTAACAAGGCAGCAAGAAGTAAATTCAATAATCACTGTCGTAGGTGTCTGAGTGTAAAGAGGACACAGAAGGGAAGCCACGGAGTTTTGCTGAGTGGGAGGGTGGGCCAGGAAACGCTTCGTGACCTGAGCACATTTGAACAGTCCTAAAGAACGTGGCAAAAGTTTCTAGGTAGCTAGTGAGCAAGAAGTGGGCATTCTCGGCAGAGGAGAACATTTGAAAAAACGTGAGACAACTGGAAACCATCAACTAACTGAATACAGTTACAACTTTAGGGGTGTAAGTGGCAGAACAGAGGCTGGAAAATCAGATGCCGCCTAGGCTTGAAACCTGCACTGACCAGTACGTAAACTACCCAACCACTTGTGCTTATTTCAATATAAACTGAAATGAAAATAAAATAAACATAAAAATAAGAAGTCTCCTGGTTGTGCTAGCCATACTTCAAGTGCTTATTTCCACATGTGGCTGGCAGCTACCTTGCTGGAGAGCACAGAGGAGGGAACATTTCTATCACAGGGCAGTGCTGTTCTAGATTACGAAGGGTTTTATGTAGTGTTAGGAATTCTGAATTTTATCTTTCAAGTGGCACTGGAATTAACCAATGATTCTAACAAAGCTCAATACTAATTAAAATGCGAATAAGCCTGCATTTAAAAAAGAATCCAATGCCAAAACCTGTTAATTACAAAGAAAAATTAACAAAGTCCAATGAAAATGGAATTTTCTGATGGGAAGCGGCATTAGCGAGATTACACCTGCAAGCTGTGAGCATGTCTGCCATGGCGCAGAGGTGCTGCCACTGGGCCTGCAGAGAACTCATACGGTTTTGGAGATTACACCTGCAAGCTGTGAGCGTGTCTGCCATGACGCAGAGGTGCTGCCACTGGGCCTGCAGAAAACTCATACGGTTTTCAATTGTTTTGTTTAGAAACATAAGCTGCCATCTTAGCAGTTTTATAACAAATATGAACCTGCTTTTTCACGTTATTTGCCCAACAGTAATCTGACTGAGGCACAAAGTCCTCATAACTGGTTTCTCTGTATTGAAAGCACAGCACCTGAGCCACTGCTGTCTACACTGGTGCTCTCTGTGGTACTTGGAGCCACATGCCAAGGCCTGCAGGGGTGGTACACCTTCCAGCAGGTCAGGGTACACAGAGGTACATGCACAGCTGCAGGCTTTTGGAGATGGCTTTGACTCTTTTCTTCCTGTGATGCTGGATAGGAAAGAAAACTTCAGAAGGCTGAAGGCCAGCTAAAAGATTCCTTTCCTAGATAACTACAGGGACTTCTGGTCTTATCTGTGGAAACAGCTTTGTCACCTACCTGCCTGCATAAAGGACTTCTTTAATCCAGCCAATGAATCAAGGTGTCATCCAGAAGGTCAAGAGTGGATTACTGGGCATCTTTTACTCACAAAATAATGAATTCTGACTGTGTGGAAATTTCAGGCTTCTTTTGATCTTAAAGATGCAGTTTATGCTTCTGTAACAGCATGGGAGGATATTAAAGGATGTTACCCCATGAAGAAATGAACAAAATTTTGGCCAGTATTATGTTTGTGAAGTATGTGCTGAAGCAGAAGTTTGAAGGATATAATATAAAAAGTTCCCAAATATTTTCAGAATTAATCATCAAATTTTATTAACAAGGAAATAAGAAAAACTGGTTCCTAGGAAACCAGTGGTAGAGGAGCTATGAGTTGGTAAACTTTTCCGTCACACAGGTTTTATACACCAGAGATGCCTACAACAAATGAGTGAAGAAAAAGGTACAAAGTAACGTAAGCAGGCATCAAGCTACCAACTGAATTTTCTGAGTCCAGCTCATTACAGTCTTACAGAAGTCAGAGATCTGTACCTGGGACCAAATCTATTAGAAAATAGTAGCCTGAAAAATTGAAGCAGGAATCGAAGACTGTGTCCTACACTTCTCGTATTTCTTGAAACTGTCATTTAAACTCCTCTCCTGCGGCTCTGGACGAGGGCCCTACTGACGATAACCAGGGATGACCACCACTCTGCATCCTCCTGATGACCCCGAAGAGCATTTCCCTCCATGCAGAAATTGCTAACTCTTTCTTCTTAGACAAAAGGCAATTTCAAACTTTGAAGAAATAACTCTGTTACTCAGCCTAAGTCATAATAATGTCCACTGTGGTAAGAGAAGTTGTAAATACTTTTGTTACTCAATTTCTATATAGGACAAACAGAAGCTTTTGTGCAGGCATTCTTCTCAGTATCACCTCTAAGGCTGGCTGGCATAGTCTAACATAGTGAAAACACCACACGCATCTGTGGATACTACGCACTGTAACATTTTAGTGTACTTACAATGTAGTGACACTGTAAAATACTTTATATATAGGCAATTCAAATTATTACCATACGTTTTAAGACAACAAATATAAAATACTAGTACAATTAATAATTTATAAGCCCCAGAAAAGGCTGGGGTGAATTGATCTTTCATGAGAAACATACAGTGATTTATTTTTCTTCATCCAGCAGTGAAAGAACACACATGCTTTAGTCTGCTGGCAGATGTGCAGTTAGCAACATACGGGGCTAACAGGAGACAAGGCCTCTTTATTTTCTTTATGAATTCAGAAACATGGGCTATAAAAATTACTCTGAATATAAAAATACGTACAGAATTACATAATCGGTCTAGAATTCCACTTGTGATGTCATGGCAACATACATGTGGACAAAACTATTTTACTTCCACAAAACGCCTAGAATATATATATCCACTGATCAGAGGCTTACCTACCTCTCATTAATTTTATTTAGAACATCAGTATTTTGACAAACTTAATGGATTCAATTAAAAGTTTTTAACTTTTACTTTTTGTATGAAATCATACCTTGCCAGAAAAGTTTACGTTTTTTAAAATTTTTTTTTTAGTTTCCCACCAGTTTTCTTTAAAGTTAAGATTATTCTGACCAAAACTCCCAAATTACAAAGGGCAGGGGACATACTATCATAAAATAAAAACCAGTAAAATATTCAGCGTCACTCTTGTAAGCCTGTGTTTACCGCTGCTTCTAGCTCTTTCCTGGTCACTTTTCAAGAAATAATCTGACAACACTGGCTCCTTTAGTACATAGAGCCTGCTTCCCTAACAGTACGAAGCCAGGAACTTCAATCACTAAAGCTCACATACTTGAAACTTTTGACAAACACAGAATAAAATTTACACATATAAAGTTAGTTACAATATTTAGTATTTTCATATTTACCTGAATTGTGGTATTTTTTCCCAACATATTCAAATGCAAAGAGTAGCTGGAGGTCTGTTGGCTGGGAATAATGAGCTATGGCAAGGCATACCTAGGAAAAATTCTACATTTAGAATTTGATTTTAACACACTTCAATGAAATGTACAGCAAGGCCTCGGTCACCTGGGGCACGATCCTGGGGCAGCAGCATTTGGACACCATTTACATGGTCTTATGCTGATCTAACGTGGGAAAGAGCTCTTTAGCCCAGGTATCTCAGTTACTGCTGTGCCCCAGGACACTATTAAATCTTCAGTTAGTACATGGAAGGATACAGCATAAATTTGCTGAGCTGAATTTTAACTGGGAAGTAATTTTACTCTAATATATTAAACTTTAAAGCAAAAGAACCACTCTCTAAGAAGGCAGTGACAATGCATCTACTCAAAAAATTTAATGAAAAAGTTTCTGGTGGATTAGAAAAGCTCAATATAAGACATGCTATTTTAACATTTTAATGAAGTCATAGATAAAAAATCTAAACCTAATAGAGCAGTCACAGTTGCAAAAAGTACCAGAACTACATGGGTGGTATCGAGAAGTATAGCAAAAAGCTGTGTTTAAGAGAGACAGTTTCACACTGTGCCCTGTGGCTGAAGTGTGCGCTTCTTTTGAATCAAGAGTCAGGGCTTGAACCCCGGGCTCTACTGAGCACACTAGACGTCTAGCTGAATTATGTGAAGTTAATTCCTTTCCCAGCTTCGTTCTCTTCTGCGAAGTGAAGCACCTATGCTGTTACAAAGATGGACACTCCGGTGCATGCTTGGCCTGCACAGGTGCTCTGCGTGTGCACACTGGTTGTCACCCTAACAGCTGCCGGCAGAATGAAAGACGGTGCTCTACGATTACAAGCGCTGCACGACACTATGGGAGGAAAAGCCCTTCAATGAGCAAGAAACAAAGAGGAAATTCAAGACATACGCTAGGGAAGAATAGTAGATGGCCTCACCTAAAAAGTTAACTATCAGCAGATAAAAACCAAGCCAGAACTGAGATACATTCAACAGTGAGCAAGGAAAAAAACTGTTAGTTCATGTCAACTTAGTGGTGTCCGGAGCTGACACAAATTCCATTAATAGTAAATGTGTGTTAGCAGGCTGCTTAAACATTATTCTTTAAGCCCTTGTATAAAACGAGTATTTTCCATCTTAAGAAATTAAAATATACAACCAGGGACACAAACTTTAATAGTGTTGACACTTGCTCTGTCTCCAAAAAGGCTTCCCAACACTCACATCTTGATTTCTCAAGGCCTATTAGCTTTCTAGGAGAGTCCACTTATAAAATTCAGGATATAATTATCTCTATTCATAATCAGTTTGAGTAGCTTTTTTTAATATAATAAATTTATTGTCTTACAAAAATCACTGTCTAAAAATATGGGAATACAAGAAAAGACATTTGCAGTCAGGTGTCTGGTGGTCAACAGCCAGACAATTCATACAGGGAGAAATCAGAGATTCCAAACCCACATGACAAACTGTTCCTAACAGATGTTAAAGCTTTTAACCCAAGAGGTTTGTGTTTTCAAGCACATGTAGCTTTTTTAAAAAGTGCTTTTAAGAGCAAGACTAGTGAAATCCGTACTTTGAGACAGAGTTCTCATCACTCCTGTTCCTGTTGGGAGCATGGTTTGTTACCAAGCACTGAAACTTTTCAGGTCTGTCTCATTTCGCTACACTGTTGCGGCCACATTCTTAGGCCAGCCTCTGGGGCTGCTCTCTGTTCTAGAAACTCGCTGCACTTAAGAATTCTCTTCTAAATATACAATTTTGGCTAGTAACAATTTTGGCTTCTACACATACAATTGTGATAATTAGTTATGGATCTCAGACACTGGCTTACTGAATTAGATTTCTTTATTGTTGATTCTTCACAAAACTTCCTCACTCACGTATTTTACATTCCCAATATCCTCACATTTTGTGATCAACGAAAATGTACACACACATTCTGTTTGATTTGGCCCAGCCATCTCCTGTCACTCTCAATCTTTAGGAAATCTTTCTACTCCTCTAGAGCAATCAGGCTTTCTTGGAAATTATCATGTCTGCTCAGCACTACTTTCTTCTCAAGTCATCCAGGATCGAGTCAACTTCAGAGTATTAATTCCAAAAACCCTTCTGTCTCCAAATAATGCTAATTCCAATGTTTAATATCTCATTGGCTAACTGTGCTTATGTTCCTATACTGACAAGGTATTCAAATAATAATCATTAGTGTTGATAAATAGTCCAGAGGTGGTTCCTTATTACACCTATGCCATTAAGTTCCTTTTCTTCGAGTAGATGCTAAATTTCTCATTCATTCAATAAATAGTTACTGAGCACCCACCACATTCTAAGCACTGAGGACAAAGTGAACAGAATATAAATGCAAACCCATGTTCTCATTAACTTATATTCTACTGAGGAAGGTGGACACTAAAGAAGGTAAAAACAACAATGAACACAATAAAAGTTAATTATTTAAGTGTAAAGAAGAAAAAAGTAGATCCAAAAAGGAAATATGAAATACAACAATGACAGAAGAGAGGAGCAGGTTCAAAGTTTAGGGGAGAAAAGGAATCCCTCTCCGCACAGGCTGATGCCCTTGAGACTGGCCCCACCCCGCACTGTCACCCCTCGGGCTGCTCTAGGAAGCTGCGCAGTGTCTGCCGGCGGCTGCACAAACACGATACTTGACAGAATCAGTTTCTAACCTATTAGTGAAAATGTTCCTCCCTAAAAATACTAGGAGAGTTTAAAGAACCCAAACTACACAAATGAAATGGGCCTGGTTTTCACAGAAGAAATTCACAGAAAACTGCTGACAGAACATCTTTTTATGGCCACAACGCAAACAAGAAACAAAGCCTATCTGCAAAACAAAACCCACCAAAGACTGCTAAAGATTTCTTTTAAAGTAACAGTTTCCACCGAGTTAGGGACAGGTGAGATGTGCCTAACAGCTCTCACACCTGGACACTGAGGCTCAGTTTCAGGACTCCACAACGGAGGACCTCCTAAGGGCAGTGGAAAGAGGGGAGCCATGCGGGTAACATGCTGCTACTCTGCAGCATAGTGACAAGCACACAGAGTGCATTTTCTATAGCTTAACTAAGGGGTATCTCCGGGTACACGCACAAGGGCATGTACAGATCTGTGTATCTAAGTAATACTTGTTCAGTTACTGTGCAACACTGAGAAGAAAAAGCAAGTCAGCTGTCTTTGTCTTTGCACTTTTCCCAACATGCTATTTCAGAATTTCAGAATCTGTGTCCAAATTCCTAGCTTCCTCAGAGTATCTGAAGGCTTAAAAAAAAAGAAAAAAAAAAAGGTCTCATTTTCATGCAAAATTACTGTTTTGCAAGTAGCCCCTATGCCATAAAAATCAGAAAACCTTTAGTACCCGCAGTGGATGGCCTCTCTTCTCTGACCAGCGAGGGGTGCAACACCAGAGAAGTACAAAGTCAGGAGACACTCAAACTTCTGGTTCTATGACATCTGCAAACAGAAACCGGCCTCCTATCCTGTGGAAAGCCACTGAAGAGCATCAGATTCCAGGCAAAGGTGACAGTCCAGGAGAAGGTCAAAGTGTTCTTTAATTAGATGAACTCAATTCACCTCTAGAAAGCACACCTGGGTAACTGTTCACAACCAACAGTTTGAGAATAAACTGAAGACAAGGGGTGTGTATCTTGCTCACCTATCCACCTGCTTACATAATTTCAACAGTGGTAAATCATTCAAAATAACATTTGTCTGTTTTTCTTTTGCCCCTCTCAGTTTTGAGCAATCTTCAAGTGGTAGGTAGCTCAAAGATGCTATATGGTTACATGTGCAAAACTGTGCCATCAAATTCCTTCTTTCTCTACCCAGACCTTTTCCAAGCGTCATTATTTTCCCACGACAGTCCAACAGTAGTAAGGATGAATGGGCACAGCTGGACAAAGGAAACCAATTCACTCACAATTCAGAAAAAACAACTAGACAGCCAGGTTTTAGAGCAACATTTAACAAAATATGAACCACTTTACTGGGATTCATATTTCCAACAAAACATAAATACTTTCAATATTTAAATTCTAATTAATGGTCACCCATCAGAGAACTCCACATGTATAAGGTCATTTTTAAACAATGTACAACATCAAAGTATTTTCTAGAGAAAATGTAGTATTTCAAGCTTCCAGGAGGTAAAAATGACCCCTAATTAACCAACTTGTATCTAATTTTGGATGAAAACTTTCACTTGCAATTATAAGAGTATGCTACATTTGTTTCTAACTCACAAGCCTTAAGCTTTGGTCTCACACAACTTCACTGTTTGAAACATGTACACCACACAAAAAATTATCTGTAGTTCTGTTCTCATTTCCTCCCATGACTGTACGAACACAAAGACAGTGTTTCTTTCAGGCCTGAGCTAACATACTTTTTATATTTCAAGACACCAGGAAAAGAATTTTTGTCAGAAACTTGGTCTTGGGAAGGGCCCAAGTGGACGAGCTGGTGCTGCGTGGGCAACTCAGTGAGGCCTTCACCACGAGCAGCGGCCTGGCCATACCCGAGCCGACACGGCACTCATATGCTTAGCTGGCAACTACGCACTTCCGTGGGGCGGCTTTCACGCCACTGTTTCACGCTGCTACCTGATGCTCATTTGCTCTGCTTTATCTTCTCAACGACACTCACCCGAGTTAGGGAAAGAAACTGTATCTTATCTTCCTTTCTATCTTACAAAACTGGGCACACTGCCTACCATGTCAAAAATGACCACTGAGTGTCCTGGAAGGCTCAAGCACTAAGTCAAATTATCATAATCTCCACTTATTGTGTTATCTGATAAATACAATAATAAAGGGAGAGATTCAAGCTTTCTGAAAGAATACTGGCACACTGTATCAATCTCTTAAAAATATTTTCTCTCTGGGCTGGGGGTTTAGCTCAGGGGCTTAAGAACCTGCCTTGCAAGCAAGCATGCAGTTGTGAGTTTGATCCCTGGTACCACAAAAAAATTCCGAGGTGGCCCCACCCTGGAGATGCCATACATCTTGAAGTGCACATGTAGGTTCTTGCTGCTTTGGCCAATGAAACCGCAAACCATTTTCAATTCTGAGAAAGGAACTCAGCTGAACATTTATTTATATAGAGGGTACCAGTTCCTCAATTCTAAGGCCATTCTACATATAAACAAGCATCTCACGTAGGTGAGATGCCAAAATCACAAACAGAATCAAACGGTCAAAAGGAGCCTTGAAAGTTATTAAGTTGAATTTTCAGTTATGTGGCACTGAGAGGTAGTTGTCCAGACTGTACTGGAAAGCTTTCAACCACAGACCCACTGCCACTCTGCTGGACAACACCAGAGGTCATGTATTTTCAGATATTCATCTCATGCTTGCCTTTCAGTGATGGAACTTAGCTCTAGTTTGAAAAACAAATTTACCACTCCCTTGCCTAAGTATATGAAGACAGCTGCCTTAAGATCTCTTTGATAGATCCACTTGGTATCACCAGGAATTTTATTGTTGTCTACTGATGATGGAAAACAAATGTGCTTTTGGTGGTGCACATGCTGCTTCAGATCTGACAGAGAGCAAGCTCCTAGGCCATGAACACACCATGACTATCCTTCCAGTGCACGGGAAGAGGCTTTCCTCTGGAACGCGGGTGCCATCCTCCGCACTGCTGCATCAGACCAGAACACACAAGCATCAGGTCTGCTAGTTCATTCTTCTGGCAAAGTCCCAAAACCTTGAATGAATGAAGTGGGGATTTTTTCCCTCTAATATCACTTCCCAAGTGGGCAAAAAAATGCTGAAAGGCAGGGGAGAAACAGGGCAATTAAGAAATTCCTAGCTCTGAGCTATACCTGCCAAGTATCACTTCAATTAATTCATTAAGATTTCTTTAAACCACTAATAATTATGAGGTCCCTCTTATCCCTCTGTATTTCCTAATCCTCATGCAACACAAATGTGGCTTTCAGCTTGCTGGTAGGACTCTGTGGAACTGAACTAAAAGCCTCACCAACCTCACTAAGAGTACATCTCCAGCATTCTTTTCAAGCAAGACAGAAGCTAGGTGGTAGTGATCTCTAATAGGAAAGATATGGCAATTTCCATATTTGATAGATACGAAAAAGTCTAATATTTTAGGAGTTAATAAAAAATTTACAGAACACTAGAAAGTAGCGACCAACTTACATCAGGAAATAGCTCTATTAATATTCTTGGCTTTGACTTTATTTAAGGAAGTAGCTAATTATAAATTTCCCTAAAAACATGTGAGTAATCAAGAAATGAAAAGTTCCATGCAGACATTACATTGGTAAATACAGGGCAGAACCCAGAACTTGATAAAACTTAGTAGTATTACCTTTTTGGCACTTTCAGGACCTGATTCATCAAAGCGAAATCTGACAATTCTGAAATCTTTACAATAAATAATTAACTCTGTTGGATTAAATTTTAGTTTCTGGTTGGGGCCGAGGACTTTTTGCTTTCTTTTGTGGTCATTTACTAAAAAGAGAGAAGAAAGAGAAAAGACGTCAGAGTCTCTCTTGCCATTCAGGCCTCGTAGGCCTGTGTAACCCAGCTGCAGGGAAGAGCACTGGAAAGTCACCCCTCACCAAGCCCCGCTTATCTGAAGTCTTCCTATTTGCCTGGAATTGTCAGAACTTCAAGAAAATGCATGTTAACCTTGTTTTTGAATATTTTGAAAGAGTTTTAATAAAACCACCGACAGCTAGATATATATATTTAATGATTAAAATTTTAAAGAGGACAAAAAGCTATACATTCTATAACTCCTTTTTAAAATATCCATTGACCCTTCCTCTAAATAACAGTAAATCTACAGAAGTAAAATTCCAACTTAAGTATTGAGAGATAGGACCCTCTAAGGAAGACTTCCACAATAAAATCAACTTCAGAGAACTTTAAAAAAAATACAAGGTCTCTCTATATTGTGCAGGCTGTCCCAAGAGAACTCTTGGGCTCAAATAATCCTCCTATCTCAGCCACCAGAGTGGCTGGGCTACAGGCAAGCATCACCTCACTCAGCTCCAAGTTTTAGAGAGAGTCCAGGCTAAGCACGACGTACCTGTGACAATTTGCTCAATACATGTTAAAGGGACATCATGTTGCCCAAGAAGAAGGTTTCTATAATGGAATTTCTGAAATAAAAAATTATGTTCACATTACTTTTCTCAATAACTGTAGTGACAATACAAACGTCATTTTTAATTTTGGGGCAAAGAACTAAGGAGTTAAAAGAAACTTATGAAATAAATAAAATACTTGGTATTTACATGATTATTTGCTAAATGACTGTTGTAGTCACGGTTTACAAGGGGAAAGATTTAATACAAGATACCACAATTTATAGGATTATGTTATAATAGTCACCCAAAGAGTCAAATGCAAAAGAATACAGGAGGTCTGTCCAAACGCTAGAGACATAAAGAATCCAGCTGAGGGCCTGGATCCCAGAAGCAATATCCTGTGCAAGTCCAGCTGAAGACTGAGAGCCCGTAGCGATGCCCTCCATGGGCCCAAAAGGTTTCATTCAACTATATACCAAAGATCTGCACTGTGAAGGCCCAAAGGCCAATGGTGGAAGCTAGAAAATCTGTGTCAGCAGGATGAAGGATCTGCGCCAGGAGGCTGAGAGATCTGCACTGGAGTTGGGAAGCAAGGCTCAGAGCAGACTTCCCCTGAAAAGAACTAGCCATCCTCAGTGACTGCAAGGACCCGAGGTCACCCAAGGAGGAGAACATCTGAGTCCATGAAAGCCAGCAAGACAGGGCTCTGCAGGAGAACCTACAGCTCACCATCTTCCCCTCCAGTTCAGCTTTTATGCCTTTGGTAACAATTTCAGAGCCTTCCATCCTAGAAATATGCTGGTTCAGTTCGGCTAGGTGTTACAAGTTAACCATTAGTTAATATACCACAATGACTAAATTTTTTTCTTTATGACTAGGAAAAAAACAGTGTATTTGCTTTTATAAAAGATTTGGAAGCTACGAAATAACTCTCTTTCAGGTCAAATAACCAATGATCACAAAGGATAAATGAAGCAAGGTGACCTAAAATCATCTCACTAAATGTATTCCTCAAGCAAGTCTCAACATTCTTAGTTTTATTTTGAATTTTAATAAACAACCCAAACATTATCATTTATTGAATAAACTCATTATATTTCCTTACCTGTAATTTGCATAACAACATGTACTGCTTAGAGTGTACAAATAAGACACACCTGTAATGGCATTGGGTCATCAGTAATAAAGGAGATTTTAAAGTTACTGCATATCAGCTTTCCCCACAAATCGTACTGGCTTGTGTCCGTTGCAATGCATTTTCTCACAAAGTTGACTTCATTTACGACAATTTCTCCTTAAAAAAAAAAAAAATTATGTAAGCCTGAGCTATTCCATAAAATGTCAGTCACTAAGTATCCCAGAAGGAAGATTTCCTGGTTTGATGGTGACAGCAATGGTTGTCAACAGCAAGAACATCAGCCGTTCCCCTGGCACCGGGCACTGAAGGCCCCGCAGGAGCAGCCGTCATGAGGCTCAGCCTCTACACCTGGGTACAGAAACTGCGGCAGGAAGCACTTTGGGGTCTGAGTTGTCTCAACCAAAAGGGCCACCCCACATCTGTAGTCTAGGCTCTGCTGTACTGCCTATCACTATTTACTGGCTGAAAGGCATTCTGGAGAAGAAATAAACTATATTTCTCCCTCAGAATATTAGCTAGTGGAGTATTTTTGTCTTACTAAGATGTGCTTCTGCTTGTAGGGATAAAAAATAACATTCAATTTTATTTATTTTAAAGTAAGCTCCACAAAGCAAAATCAAGTTTCCTTCTGCATTCAGATTATAACTCGGTAGCAATAAAAGTTTAAAATAAAGATTGAGTTCAAAGGAAAGATTAGGAAAATAAATGTAAGAAAATAGTACATAGTCATGACATGCTTTTGAAAAGAACAATTCTCCATAATGTATTTAAAGCTTGGCTATTACTAAACTATAAAGTTCAATATCTGGAACTCAATTAGTCACAAAAATGTTTTTAAGCTTCCATAGAAATGTCAGGATATTGACCTACTTCGTCTATTTCTCTTCTTATAAAAACTTTTACCAGTGATGAATAAAGCCTGCTTACTGCCAATCAACAAACACCTACTAACTCATGAAGAATAAAATAGTCACAAAGCAATTTTCTTTTTAACAAAAATGTTACAATAGATTTGAATTACAAGAATAACTTTTATTAAAGTTCCTAAAAACTCACAAGGCTAGCTTTAAGAAAAGTCCTCTAACATTCATTTGAGGATTTAATTTTCACAAGCTCATATCCAAGTCCTGGCTCAGACACTAGAGTGATTTCCGTTAGGAGCACAGTCTCCTTCACATGGTGTGGGAGGTCCTGCTGGCCTTGGCTACCTTCTTTCCTCCTGCTGTCCTACCAGTGACCACCTTCCAGTCCTTCATACACAACACACGTTACTAGCTCTGCACTGTTCCACTTCTTTCTTCCTGTTTGCTCAAGCACTGTCTCAAAATACCTTAAAAAAAACAAAAACAGCGCTGGAATTTAGCTCAGCAGGGTAAGTGCCTGCTTGTCAAGCATGAGGTCATGAGTTCCATCTCCAGTACCAATAAAAAAAAAAAACCTTTCTGCTTAGACTAATCTCCCCTTATCATAGCGTTAAGCAAATCTAATCCCACAGCCATGGTTTCACACACACATTAAAGAAACACCTGTCTCACATCCAGGATTCTCCGCTCTGCGGGGCAGGAAGCGGCAGCGTTTTTATTATGTGCTGAAACTTCAGCACACACAAGAGCACCTAGCACACGGGAGCTGCCCGCGAAAGTGCTCAATAAATTAAATCGCCTCAGCACCTCTGGTTCATCACCTCAGCGCCTCAGTGCCTCTGGTCCACCACCAGTTGGACAGAGGCTGTTCCAAATAGAACCGAAACCAGTAATTCAATATGGCCCAGTAAACAAGCAGACTGGAAGATTAGGGCTGTTTGGGTAAACTTACATGATAATAGGAAAAAAATCAAAATACCACCACTGCTTGCCTGCACATGCATAAGGAGAAGGAAAATCAGCAGTGGGAGTTTCTCAACACTTGCCCTGATTAGATTCTTTCAATAGCATGTAAGGGAAGGCAGGTAGGTGTTTTCCCTAACGGGGAGATAAGGGATGTGGACCCAAACAGACTAACGTGGCTCAGATCTTAAAAACAGTAAGGAGTAAATTCAGAATTTTTAATCCAATATTTCTTCCCATTGTTTCCATGGGTTATTGGTTTCAGGATCCCATGCATACCAATCTACAGCTGCTCCAATCCTTTATATAACATGTATAATATTTGTACACAATGTATAAATATCCTTTGGATCATCTCTTCATGATTTCTCACACCTTAGACAATCCGAATGCTATGAAAACACCGCAGTTGTTCTACTACATTATTTAGGGGGTGGGTGTCCAACCTTTTAACTTGCCTGGGCCACAGTGAATGCACAGCAATGGTCTTGGGCTAAATATCAAATATATAATACAGTAGATGTAGATAAGTTAAAAAATTACCACTTTATATTTAAGCTTCTTAACTTTACGAATTAAGAAGACCAATTTAATAATTAAACAGCAAAACTGTAGGTCCACTTAAAAATAAAGGCCCTCTCCACAGGCACACAATGCACAGGAAGGCTGAAACACTACTCTGTAGCCCTGCCGTACCCCCCAGGTGGCACAGAAATGTGACCGCTGATCCACGCTGCTTCGGCCGGCCTGTGTGCGGGTACAGGAGGATGAGTGCTGGGCTGCACTGCACCTCCCCACAGCGCTGCCCTGTTCACTGTGCAGTCGGCACCGCAGCCCAGTGCAATCAAGCCGTGAAAAATACTGCTGGATACCACAGACCGCTAACGTCCACAATGTCACGAGGTCACATTACTAGCTGCATTACTAGCTGTCTAGAGACAGATGAAGCGAGGCCACCTGGCTTAGAGAAGTCTATACGGATGAGGAACCCACAGATACCAAGGGCTGATTTTACTTGCTTTCCTATTCCTATATAAAAGTAAACATACTGGAGTGAGATGGAGTAGGTGCCTGTTACAGCTTGTGTTTAGACGTCTGCCCAAAGCCTCATATAGTAATACATGGGGCTTTTTCAGAAGTGGATGGGTTCAGAGTGTGTTATGCTGGAATTCATGGTGCAATGCTAGGATCAAGGACTAGGATTAAGGATGTATGTGCCACCTGCCCTGAGTAGCCTGGATAATAGATCAGAGATAGAACTGTGGCTATCCTCACTGCCTTGGCTGCCTTCTGCCCGTCATAAACTGTCCTCTCTGATGGCTGTCTGCAATGTCACCTTGCTTTGTAGCCAGCCACTTAAGGATTGAAACCTCTGCACACTCTAAGCTAAATAAAGCTTTCCTTCTTTGAGTGTCAGGTATTTTGTCTTAGCACTGAAGCAGCTAAGAATTTGGTACCAGATAAGTGGGGTCATGGCTGTGACTGTATCTGATCAAGCCACCTTTGGAGCTGGCTTGTGGGAAGAGGAAGAGTAAGGAAAGGTTTGGAAATACCAGCTAAAAAAGCAGAACTGGAATCCTTGAAGTTGTACTTGATGGGAGATTCTGGTCAAAGCTCAGAAGACCAGAATGCTGACAGAAATTCTGCCGGTAGAAAGCAGGCTCAAGAGGTTTCTGCTGGGAAGGAGGACTGCAATGGATGTTACACTCCAGATGATGTGTTATGCCTTGGTAGAAAGTCTGTATGCATTTTGCTCCTGTGACTTGGCCTGAGACTGAGATTAAGAACAGTAAACTAATGTGGCAGAATAAATTTTCAAAGCAGTCCAATGTTGAGGCTGTAACATGGATGCTATTGGGGAGTTTTTAACCACATTCATGTTGAGAATCAAGAGCAAAGAGCCCAGCAGAATGATTTAAAATGTTTTCAGTTTGGACAGAAAGGAAACTTCAGTAAAGCTTTGGACTGCAAAGACAGAGCAGAAGAGAATGCCGATTGCTGAAAAGGAACAGAAGAAAAGAAAAGATGGCCTGAAGGCATCACAAGCAGCAGCAGAACTCCACTCTTTGAGCTTCAAAACTGCAAAATTGAAAGACTTTGCTTTGAGAAGAAAGCCCCAAAACACCAAGTTCCAGAATGGCAGGGGCCTTTGGACATTGTTCTTGGGATTTGGTTCATAGGCATTGGACCCCTACAGACATAAGAGAAGGAAGCCTGGCTACTGTTCCAGATGGCAGCAAACTTTGGTGTTATCTACGCAGTGCTGGCTTTAGGAGCTGTGGAACAGAAAGGTTTCTACCCAGATTTCAGAAGGCTAGGAAGTCAGGCAGTGTGACCATGAGAGAGAAGTGTGTAAAACTGTGCGTGTGAAAAGAAAGGTGCAGTGGAGATCCAGAAGTTTGGAGATACCAAGAACGTGGATAATCTGAGAAAAACTGCGAGGAGGAACAGAGCTGGCCCAAGACAGAACCTGTGGGAGCTACGACACTGGCAATGCTGTAGGGGTGGAGCCATCCAACCCCTTTGGAGTTCACAACTTGCCACAGAGCACCTAGAATGCCACATGTGGAATGATATGACTTGATGTGTGGCCTGCTGGGTTCTGGACTTGCTTGGTTCCCATTCTCTTCTATCCTCCTCTTTGTACCTACCAATGTGCACCACTAAATGCTGGAACTGTTTAACTTTTGTTTCATTTGTACAGGGTTTGCAACTGAGTTTGCCTCAAATCTCAGAGAAGACTTTGGACTTGGATTTTTTCTGCGATGCTGAAACTGTCAGGACTTTAGCAACTCTTAAAGATGGATTTAAATGCCTTTTGCATAGAGAGGTGCATCTGTCTTTGGGGTTCAGGGTGGAATGTTATGGCTTATGTCTAAATGTCCCCCCAAAACCTCATATAGTCCTAAGTAGAGCTTTTTCAGAAGTGGCTGGGTCTAGAGTACATGACATTGGAACTGATTCATGGTGCAATGCTAGAATCAAGGGCATTAGGATTAAGGGTGTGACTGCTATCCACTCTAAGTAGCCTGCAAGGTGGTAGAGATTATACTTAGTGAGCCAGTAGTTCTGTATTAGAACATAGTGTCACAGGAATATGTCTTCCATCTGAACTGGAATAATTAGTTCAGAGGTAGAAAAGAGCTGTGGTCATCCCTACTTGTCAGCATGCTATGGACTATTTCTCCTCTGTGATGTCTACCTTGCTACCCTGCCTTGGAGCCAACCATGAGCTGAAAACTCCAGAAACTGTGAGCTAAAAAAACCTTTCCTGTTTTGAGTGTCAGATATTTTGTCTCAGGAGTGAGAAAAGAATTAACTAAGACAGTA